CAATGCCATGCATGTGTGCGCGCATTAAAAAAAGGTGTTCACTAGTGAACAAAAAAGCAACATTTCACCTAGATTTCCTTTAATTCCACACATTTAAAACATGTTTCTCACCAAGTTTGTGTAAATTCAGCTGTGGGTTTCAAAGTAATTTTAACTTTAATACAGAGCGTCCGGTCGGCACTATTTGTGTTTATAGAGAAATAATAAACATCACCACTAGACATTTTAACTTGTGTTCAACGCTCCTCATCTAAATTGTTTCTCATGGAGCTTGAGGACAATAAGGTGTGGGGTTTTAAAGACATTTCAACTTTAATGCACCTGAACACACAGCGTCTCTTACACCTGCAGCGTCTTACAGCGTCACAGTTACTGCTGAGCTAACACGCTGCAGACGTAGCGCTCCACTTCTCTCAAGCATCCTCCTAACATGAATATACGTTTATGATCAACCCCCCCAGTCAACAACTGCCCGCGCTAAGCTCGCTAAACTGGCGAGGGAGTAACACAGAGATGTCTCCATCTCCTCCACCTGTGCGCGTTTTCTGCCGAAGCAGGAGGAGACGCACAGAAACACTGCAGGTGTTGCACCATATTCTGTGACCACTGTGTATTGTGACCGTGGCAACAGGCTGCTGTGTTTAGAGTTGGAGGTAACCAGGAAAACCTGGAGTGGAGTTTTAGTGGCCTGAGTATTCTCCTATTAATCAAGTGGAATGGATTCGTTCACGAAGAAAGAGAAACTGCGCCGCCTGAACTAATGTTTCATAGTAAAAGTGTGTGTGGGGGGGGTCCAAATTGAAGGTTTTTTTTTTTATGTGGGGGGGGGGGGGGACTTGTCCCCTTCATATATAATGGTTGCAACGCCTATGGTAGACTCAATCATCCAGGTAGATAAAAGGTTAAGGAAGCAGCAGTTGAATCTTCACTTTGTTGCAGTCTCCCATCATGAGCAAGCACAATGGCAACAGTGGAAAGGAAAAACTCGCTTTTCACAGGAAGAAACCTCCAGCAGAACCAGGCTCAGGACAAGTGGCCATCTGCTTCAACCAGCTGGGTTTGAGAGGACAGGAAGGAGAAAACAAACAGTATGGCAGGTCCAGATGTAGGTGCAGGTGCACCCCCTATTGGAGGAAAGACAAAAAACACGTTAAGGATAAAAATAATTACGAATACAAACGGGTAGAGTAGAGCAAGTAAAGACAGCAGCAGAGTGAAGAAATGTGGTCAGTTTGTCCTCTAGCAGTGTAAGCCTATAGCAGCATAACTAAGGGATAGCTCAGGAAGCCCAAGCCAACCCTAACTATAGGATTTATCAATACGGAAAGACTTAAAACTGGACAATGTGTCAGCCTCACGGACAGAAACTGGAAGTTGGTTCCACAAGAGAGGAGCCTGATAACTGAAAGATCTGCCTCCCATTCTGCTTTTGGAAACTCTAGGAACCACAAGTAAACTTGCAGTCTGAGAGCAAAGTGCTCTGTTAAGGAAAATATGGAATAATAAGTAATATTATGGAGCTAGGTTGTTGAGGGCTTTGTAGGTTATAAATAAGAAGAGAAGCTAAAACTGGAGAGAGATGATCTCTATCAACTCTCATTAAAACAGCAACTATTGACTCTATAAAAGTTGCAGCGTGGATTATTTTTTTTTATCATTTGGAAACAGACCATGATGGACGCGTCTAAAACATAGATTTTATCCCTCAACGTCCACGGTTCATTCACCAATCCTGTTGGACCTACATTCCTTTTCTCTAAAGTGAGATTGTTTCATTTTTTTCCAATTATAATACTTTTTTCTTAAAAAAATAAAAATATATTAGTGCCTTATCTCAGTCTTGAATATACTTCTGTTTTGTTTCTTGTACCGAACATGAACGGATCGTTTTATACGTCGGTTTCTTCATGCAGGTCCTTGAGACGAGTCCTTTAAGAGTTCTCTGCAGGTTATTCCAAACTCGAGCAAGACTACTCGATTTCATCTCCGACGTCTTCCTGGATCCTTTGGGAGATCCAGATTTCTCTTTTTGATGCCACTGAAAGCCGCCTGTGCCTCTTTACAATTCCCTCGCCAGATTTCCTTTTTATTTTTGTTCATCTGCTCGACTTCCTCTTCCATCAGCAGATCCTTGTTCGTGCCCGTACGATGAGGAATAAACGGGTTTCCTTACGTCCCGAGGGAACACGTGGACGATCACATCCAATGAGTAACGGTGACCTGCATCGATCAGAGACGACGAAGCTTTTTAACGTTCTCTCACAAAGACGAGGGCCTTGTGTTTCAGATTTTCAGGACGACCTATAGTGTCTCGTAGAAAAAAACCCAGTCATCCTGCTGGATATTAATACAGTCTGGATTCCCTGCTGACAGCTTTGTGCAGTCAGGATGCTGTTTCTCTTTGCTTCACTGACTCAGTCGGATGGAGACAACAGGATGAATATGGAGCGGTTTGTTCTTGTTTATCAGCTTCTTCTTTCCATCACACATAAAATAGTAGCTTACCTTCAGAGTGCTGATCGTTTAGAACGCCCAACGTTTAAAACTGGAACTTAGCTGAAAGTTCATAGTTTGAAAAAAACACAAAAAAACCCTGCTCTGATTAGTTTTATCCGGCAATAACAATTTCTGTTTGCACCAACAAAACTGGTTTGTTCCACTTTGGAGTAAGTTGTTGGGGGAAGAATCAGTTTTGTTTTGTGTGTTTCCTTAACTGATGAAGCCTTCTGGATCGAACGTGAAACGTTTCAGCACAAACAAGGAAACTGTCCAGATGACCTGACTGAAAAATGTTGGATATTTCTGTTTGTCTTTCATGCTAGCAAAATATCTCATGAACAAGTCGTCAGATAACAAAACTGTCAAAGTGCGGGGGAGAGAGACGCACATCTGAGCCGTGCGCTGTTTGTACCGACCGTTTGAGTGGCGGGGGTGCGTTCAGCGTGAAGGAAGAGGCTGCTTTTAGCTTTTTAGCTAGTGCACCTGCATCGCAAGCCGCTAGTTTAGCGTTACGTCAGTGCAGACAGGTGGGTGGTGTTCGGTAGACGGGGCGCTTGGTTCTGTTGACGGGGTGCCCCGCTTGTATAATGGTAGGGGTGCTCTTGGCCATGCCCACTCTGCACGTTGAACAGCTGCAGCAGGAAGTTTATCCTACAGTATGGGCTGCACAAAGTGCAGCAGGTGCTAAATAAGTTAAAATAACTTATTTTAAATAAAAGGTTCATGTAGCTCGTGCAGCGTCATGTCCAATCTTATTTTGAAAAACCGCGATAAACGAACTGAAGTAGCAGGGACTAACTGTATTGGATGTATCAACCCAATTCAAGATGGCTGCCACGGCCACCTGGCCTTAGGAAAGAACAGAAGTTGCTTTAACTCTGTCAGTTTGACAGATATTGAGCTAAAATGTAGTGTGATAGTAGCCGAGCATCGTCCCAACACATTCTGACTCCCTGCATGAAATGTTTTATTAAACTTTGCCATTAACTGTATCAACCCTGTTTGTTAGCAAAATATCTGCTTTTAAAAATCACGTGATTTTCTTTTCATCTCATCAGTGCCAGAATCTCATTGTTTTACAACTTCATTTGTGCACCTGTACATGCATGAAAGGGCCTAAAATAAGAAATTCAAGACATTTTTCTCTTGATAACATCTTTATTTTGTTTTTATTTGCTTCATACAGACGAGAGTTGCTGCTGAAAATCTACGAGTATACAAGAGTAGTGATGTTTTCTGTAGGAGTTTTGGTGTAGCAGCCGTCATGTGGTCCAAAAGCTACGGTTTGGTTCTTTTTGTCCACTTTAAGTCTTTTTAGTTTCTTTGTACATGTTTAACTTCAGAGTGAATCATTTCACTTTGTAAATACAACCCATGAGTTGAACCTTACCGACCTCGGTCCAGTCGAACAAACTCTACCTTCATGTAATAAGTTCCTGGTTCTGAACCGGACAGCTGTGTCCAAACCATGCAACACTTACCGTTAGTGATCTAGAACGTGTCCGGTTTGTTTGTGCATGAACGTAAAAGTTGATCTGCCGCAACATTAAAACCTCTGACTTCCACCAAAATGGAACATGTTTGGAAAAGTTTGGGTTTGGGCAACGGCCAGGTTCTGGTTTCCAGCTTTATTGGTTTTCAAAGACGTTCACAAACAGGAAGTGCAGTAATGTGTCGTTTACAGTAACACTTCTATTGTTGTGAGCAGGTTTTGACTGGTGACCTGTCTGTTTATCTGTGCGTCACTATTGAATTTACAGTCTGTGTCGTTTGATTTAATAATGTTATTTTTTTTAAATTATCCACTCTTTATATCCTTAACTAGGCACTGACGATTATCTTAACTACTTTGAAGAGACTTCAGTAGTTTGTACAACAGCCTGAAGTGAATAAAGAATTGTTGTGGTGTGTGGTTCTGTTAAGTACGTTGTAATTATCAAGGTACTGGTTGGGATTGTCCGAACTGTGGATACGAAGATGAAACAGCTGTTAGTTGAAGATGTTTAGCTTCTAACTAGAGAAGCTTTTAAAGTGCATGTGATACATGAGCCCTGCACAACAGAAAAGTCCAGTTGATTTGTGTTTAAACTCAGGATGTTTTACCCTCAGAACCTCAAAATCTAAACTTAACACAATTTAGATAGATTTTTTCTTATGTGTAGCAAAAGTTTGTCATTTCGGAAAATTTTTGTAAAAATTATGGTCAAACCATGACTGTAACCCCAGATGGACCGCTAATCCATCCATTAAATTCTGAGTGGACCCACTTCATTCAAACTATTTAAATCTTTACATTGCCGTCAGCTTTTATACAAATGTACCTGTCTACATCGCTTTTTTTTCATTCAGCCTTTATTTAAACTAAAAGTACTGTAGATGGCTTTTACCACAACCAGCTTTGTGTCTAGACTCATCGTCAGATGGTTTTAATGTTGTGGGTATCCGTGTACTCTCGTCTACAACACATGTATTTGTACTGTTTTAAATTTTCCGACGCAGACACCCTTTTGATTTAAAACTTTAGTGTACCTATCGGGTCTCGTTCAAAGCCTCTCAATGTCTCTGTACTTCTTCCTCAGGATTGAAACCTGGTCCCTGAACAGAACCGGGTCCAGTCTCATCTGGGAGTGCACCAGAGGCATGAATCCCAGCCACCGACTGAAGACGTTCATGCAGGTCTGTCGCTGTGTGAAATGGTCTGGGTCGGCCCAACGAGACGCCTTGGAGCCCTTGGATCAGAGAACAGAAGAGAAGAAACTGGTGAGTCCATTTCAAGTAACTACTAATTATAATAAGACATAAAATCTGTGCTTACATGAATTTTGTACGGTCTGAAAATTGTTTTACACGTACAGACACGGAGTACAGGTATTTATGATAAACTTCACACCTGACTCTCAAGATTAAACGAAGACGCACATCTGTACTTTAGTCTGAGATATGCCATGCGGGAGAATAGAAACATCAGTTAAACATTAAAAACATCATGTCTGTATATTCATCAGCCCGAGTCTTAGATCTTTTCTTTAAGAACATCACTTCGAAAAAGACCAACTAAGCCTTTAAGATGAGTAGTATGATGGCTGACGTCCTGCTTTGAAAACAGACTTTAGTGCATTTAGTTTTTTTTGATCCGCTGCCAGTTCTAGTGGAAGTGTATTTTACCAGGCGTCACATGATTCACAACGGTGTCCAATCTAATTTTAACGTGTTGACCTTTTTCAGAGTTGTATAATTCGGCAGGATCTCATCTTTAAACACAAAGTTTTGGGATCGTGTGCAGCCGAACACTACTTTATGTAAAACAAGTCAAACCATAATCAGGTTTGATTGATAACTATTGTATTTTTTGCAGAGCATCACTGCATATTCATTGACAGTTGTTTTTTAACTGTAGTGAAGACGTTTGTCTAATCCCAAAGGACTCCCTGATGCTATCCCGCCCTGTGCTGCTTTCTCTTAACGGTTCTGGGCAGCAGGAGGGACGGATGAGGTAGAAGCTGCTCCGGGCCAGGTAGAATAATTAAAGAGTGACGGTTGTGGTTTGGCACTCGGAACGTTTCCTCACTTTAAATAAAGAAATAAGAAAATCTCCCATCATGCTCTTTGTGTTGAGCTAAATATCCGTCTGCTGTTGCTTGAAGCAAAGTCACAAATCAGAGGAGAGAAGGGAAGTGACTGAAGTCAGGGGGCAAATCTAGGTTTGCTGCGCTGCCTTCACAATTAAGACATTAATCACCGGGTTGGTTCTGCAGAGTCATCATCCTGCCTGTGGTCAGGCCATCGATCAGAACCTGACATCAGGTTGGTCACGTGGACACAGGGATCTCCCACAGAGAAGGTCAGGCCTGATTTAACATGAAACTTTTTTTGTCCATCGCCTTTAACGTTGTTCTCCTTTTGGAAAAGGGGAACTGATGTTTTCTTTGTGACACTCCAAAAGTAGCGTCAACATAAACACGCTTTTATTTCTCCTCTACTTTTCCACCGATCTGCAGCTGGTGGCAGCAGTGTGATACGTGCACAGCTTTAAGACACAATATCTGCAGTGCAATCTCCAAAACATGAGGAGATGATGTTTTAGAGCTGGAAATCTTTGAGGGGGAGCAACAGTATAAAACATTTTCAGGATTCAATTACCCAAAACTACTCCAGAGAAAAACTAAACGTAATTATTTCTGAATGACCACAGATTGCAAAAATGGAGTTTACGTCTGCCAGGACTGATGGATAGTTTGAACACAGCCAAGATCAAAGTGGATCAGTCTTAAAACGACTGATGTCTTTGGCACGCCCCCTCTTCGACAGTCACCATCTTAGCATCAACACAACTGGTTTGTTCCACTTTGGAGTAAGCTGTTTGGGGGAAGAATCAGTTTTGTGTCGTGTGTTTCCTTGACTGATGAAGCCTTCTGGATGGAAGGTGAAACGTTTCAGCAAAAAATGAACTGTCCAGATGACTGAAAATATTGGGTTTCAATATAATATTAACATCAGTTGCAATAACGCCACTTGTTCTGACTCTGGGCGTATTGGGCCTTTTTTCCACGGGCTTGACTCTAAAGCTAATGGGTCTGGTACCTGGGTCATCATGGTTTCCTTGTACTGCTTCTTCTGTGTGACTTTGATCGGCGGCTGTTTGGTGACGGCTGAAACCAGGAAGTTCATCAGGATGTCCTCACAGTTAGCCATGTGGTCCACCATGGTCAGCAGGCTGGCTGGGACGTAGTGAGTGAACAGGTAGTGGTAGTATCTGAGGAAGGGGAGAAGCAGATGAGGTTCTGTGTATTTATCTCCTTTTAACAGCTTCCATTCTGTTCCTTTATATTCTGCTGGGTGTTGTGCTGCACTCTCAGCAACATGGGAGCACTAGATCACTGTCAGGTCTTTTACCTCCCTGCCAAGGTCTGCCGTCCCCTGATCTCTCTCACACACACACACACATTTCTAACTCGTGTTTTCAGCATTTGAGAGTCCAATGAAAGGACTAAAGAGGTGCATTCAGCTTCTTAACAATAGGATGAGGAGAACGCCGTTTATCTGCGTGACACGTCGCTTAAAATCACTTTGGAGAGTAACTGTTTAATTTAACGCTCTGCTACAAACTCACATTTTTTACTTTTTCAATTCCATTTTTGTATTTTAACAATCACTTTATGGGATAACAAAGTAGTGTAGAAAGGCTGCGTTGTTCCATTTCCTTCTCTATTAGCCTTACATAAAATTATTAAGATGAAAGTGACATTTAATAATTGTAAGGAACGTTTTACCGTGAAGTTGGAAAGTGGAGCGTGATACAGAGTGACGAAACATTCTTGTGTATTCACGCAACCCAAAAAGAAAATTGTGATCAATTTACTCCAAATCAAAAAGGTTCAACACAATACGGCACAACTCGGTGTGAGCGTTACACCAAATCACTTCACCCTTTCTTAGTTCGTCGCCTACAGACTGAGGATCAAGAGGATTGTTTGAACCAACCCTGGTCCTCGAACACCGTCCTGCATGTTTTAGTTGTTTACCTGCTCCAACACACCTCATCAAGTTCCTCAGAAACCTGTTAATCACCCGTGTCAAAGCAGTGAAATGACTAAAACATGCAGGATGGTGTTCCTCAAGGACCAGAGTTGGGACCACTGAAATAAGCAAACCCCATAATTTATAACTGCAAACGTGTTAGCATAGAGAAAATATAGCTGAAACAGCCACAGGTGCCAAGTTTAATGCATGACTTGAATTTGAGGCGTATCTGAAAATTTAGAGCTGAACTTCAACAGGAACCTAGATGGACGGAGAAAAGCTACAGAACAGTGTCGTGTTTAGCCGGTTCAGTGTAAAACGTTATGTGGTCTGAGGAGAGTTGAAGCGTGAGCTCATCATGTGATCACACGCTGCTCCTCGTCAACTCGGGTTTAAACACCCGTCTGCAGTTGTTGCTCTTTGGAATGATGGTTGGACATTTAGGGCGGACGTCTCGAGGACTGATCAGAGTAACGTGGGTTAAATTAAACAGTCGTGCTGGTGAAACGTCGTTATATTCACAGTTCCATCAAACAGTAGATGTGATGTTCATATATCTTTGTGATAAGCAGGGAGGGGCATGTTTAGGGATAGTTCAGGCAGAAAACATAAGCAGCACTACTGTGTAACACTCCATATTACAGTTGCATTCGGGCCCAAAGACCTGGCCCCAACCCGTAGCCATCATTTCTGAAACCCACCTGACCCAACAAATTAATAGTAATTACAGGTCCGAACCCGGCTCAGGGTTTGGGTTACAAATGACAGCTCTACTCCATATTCCATTTTAAACATGCCCTGTTTTTATTTCAGCTACAAATCTTCCTGCTTCCTTTCAGTCCTACTAACCCGGCAAGTTGTAGAAACATGATCACCAAGTGAGGGGGTCGAAGTCCTTCTGCCAAACTTCAACTCTATTTTGCAATAAAAATAATAATTTAAGCGTGAACTCTTTGAGAAATGTTTCTTTTCCTAAAACTGTTTACGTCAGAAGAACTGTAAAAAAAGTAATTAATTGTTAATAAGAGATTAAATTAGACGTTGATGGACATATTCCTGCTCTAGAGCAGCGTTTGTTGGTGTTTTAAGTGAGTAACAGTTTGCTCGTCAGCTAGAAGTCGCTTCAGGTTTTGTACCTGTGGTAAAAAGCTGCTCCTGTAAGGACCATGGAGTAGTCATTAGTCCACTTGGAGGTGTAGCCCCAGCGTGACCTGGAACTGTCCCAGTAGTGGCTCCTTGCTGGATAACCGACAATTCGCTCTGGAAAACTTTGCCATACAATGAAAGCAAAATCCACCTGCAGAAGCACAAAGAGGAAGCAAAATAAAACTGGAGTTAAAACCTAAAAAACCCACAGCAGCTGCATTCTGTGTAACATTTAGGGCTGCTGCTGGCAGAACTGCAGTGTAATGTGTTATCATTAGGTAATAACTTAATGGATTTATTTGGTCTCAGCTTGTTTTGTTGCCTCTAGATGCCACTAAATCTTGTGCTCTTGACCTTTTCCGGCTGCCTTTCAGATGTGCAGAAATCATTCAAATTTATGCGTGTCGATGCAGAATAGTTGTGAGGTCAGCAAACATTTTTACCTCTCCTGCTTTAGCAGAGGAAAAACTTAATTCAGCTGCAGTTATTCAACCTTTGGTGCAGCTTCATATGGCTGAATTTAAAAATACTCCGGTTTGTTATAGAGATGGACAGTTATTTCTGATGGTTTAAATTGAAATGGTGACTGTTGCTTTAAAAAGCAGCACCCGTTAACACAGTGCTAAGACCAGAGGTTAATTTGAGCCGGATTCTGCCGGAACAGGATCCAGAAACGCTCTTATTTTGACAGGGTGCGTTCTGGTAACTCTCAGGCTTACTAATAATAACGTTATAAACAAACATGACTGCGTTGAACAAATAAAACTTATATTGGATATATAAACTGAAAATAATTACATAAACACTAATTTTAAACACAACAGCCACTAACAAGCTTCTTAATGTCACATGAGCCACCTCTTCAAGTAGCATTTCCACTTCTACCGTTAAAAAAAATCTCCACCCCTAAAAGTCCAAAGTCATCACGCAATTTTATTAAAAAACTCAAAATATAATTAAACAGCACAACTAAATTGCAAATCAGTTTGACAGATTAGGTGGGTCATTAATAAAATTTTGATTATTTACTAAAAAACAAGAAACATTTGTGTATTATTCACATCATGTATCAAAACGACATGATCAAAATGTCGAAAAGACGGAGTCACAGATTCTTTATTGTCGTTCCACCACATACGACATTACAGGGTCCCGGTTACATCCAACAATAAAAATGTAAAAGAAAAACAATGATAACATCTACGATATGAACTAAGAAAAACTAAAAATACACAGTCCAATTTACTTTCATAAAAAAAGCTTCTCATTGACCTTAGTTGGGCAACGGAGAATTGAAGCACCTGAAGGCAGCGACAGTTGAGTGTCAAGATAACCAGGAGGAGCTCACAGGCAGCCGCCATGAACAGACGGAGGAGGCGCCTGGAGGTTTCACATGTGGAGTCGAACAGTGAATTCAGAGGAGAAAAGTCGGGCTTGGAACTGTCAAGTAGGTGGGGGGTGCTTGACAGAAGTGGAGTGTTTACAAATGCAGGTAAACGTAGATGTTAAACACGTTAAAATACACCAAAATGCAGGAAATCACATCTACTTTATTCAAACTTTTCTGGGGGAGGACCCTCGAGACACCCCACCACCTCCGCCGGCTCGCCTGCTGTTTGTATTCTGGCATAGACCGGCTTACATAAATTATAATTAAATAAAATTAATCAATTAAATTAAGCCCTGGCTAAGACCATCACAACCTTTTCAGCATCAGATTATTTGTTGTAATAATAAAGAATCATTTAGCTGGAGTTAAAAAGATGTTTAAGATTTCTACACACAAGTTTTTCTCTTTCTGGAGCCCAGTTATTTAAAAAAAAAGAAGTAAATTTCTGATCTTCTAAAACTGTTTCCATGTGGATGCATGGCTGAAATGATTTAAAACTCGTTTGTATTCACACTTTGGGTGTAACTGGGACCTTGGGTACACACTTTCGTTCCACCTCATGTATCACGTGATGTGAATGACAAAGAACGTTGAAAACTTATTTCCGCCTCGGTCTTTACTGGATGTGAAGTGGATAACTACAGATTGAAGCTAATTTTACACATTTAAGGTATTTTTGCTTAAAATTTTCACCCCCAGGTAATAAAACAGAAAATAAAAAGAAAATCCTAATTTATTATAAAATACTTTGGAAAACATTAATTTGTTGATGAAAACTTAATTTTATTTTGTTTTGAGATGCACAAGAGCGCTGAAGAACTGAACTGTTGTTAAGTTTGTGTATACATTAGTGAAGGCGATACTTTTCTCCAGGTGTTTCCACCTCTGGAGCTGCTTCAGGCTGCCTGCTACACCAGTAAACAAGAAATCTCCTTGTCTGGAGCACCTGGTGTCCTTGAAGGAGCCTGATCCTCCTGACAAAGACCCTCTTTTGAATTCAAAAACACCTCTGAGACACACAGGCAGACACACCAGAGAATAAGGGGATCAGCACATAATCAAATACTTGGCTACACACACACACACACCACCTCAGGAACCGGGACAGAAAATTAATTACCAGAATAGTAAAGGCAGAGAGACGGAGTTAGGGAGGAGAGCAGTGAAAGTGGATGTTCTTTAGTGATACCTTGCGGCTTCTGTCATGAATCGTGTGAGCAATTACTGTAAAGCAGCAGCGCTAAGCCCAGAGAAAGGTTGCGGCTGCCATTCTCCGTGCAGCCCCTGATCAATTGACACGTCTGCGGCTGAATCTGTACGCCTCAGATGTCTCCACAGATGTGCTGAAAACATTTATATCATCCTGCAAATAAAATGCCTTCAGAGATTAAGAGGTGAAAGAGCTCGTGTCAGTGACAACATGAAATCTTTGCACCTATTTAGGGTTCAAACGGATAATTTCACTGCGTTTTCTTCTTGTTTAAGCTATGTGGTTTAATTTACAGGTGAAGATGGATAAATCTTATGATATAAACACAATTTAATGATGCGTCCCTTAACGTGGCAGAAATACGACTTCACTGCCGTGTGTCATACATACCAACAGATTCTTGAAGGCCAGAATTGATTCAAGGATCAAAGGGTCAATCCTGCAATAGATCTGTTCCAAATCTCTTAACGGCATTTGGGTTTAACACGTCCAACGCTACGAGACAAAGAGCTACAGTACGTTTTAGTTCTCTATGCTCCTTCAGTCTTTGGCTTTTTGTTGTAAAATCAGTTTTTCTATTTGAAGCAGACCCACTGCGACGCTTGAGAAACTTTAAAGAAATGTGTCGTAGAATGATCTCTTGTTCTGCTGATTGGAGGTTTACAGTATTTTCCACCGTACGCGTCGCACCGCCCTATAAGTCGCATCAGTCCAAACGTGTCTAATAAAGTGGAAAAATCCATAAATACGTTTCATCTCTTACGCATCACCGCTGACAACCTAGAAATGTGGGCCGGTGTGTCAAAAATCTATTGGCTGCCATGGGAGCGTGCACGGGAGGACTTTAACAAGAATTTAACAAGATTAATACTTAAAAACAATTATTTGTTTGCTCAAAATTACAGTAAAGGTGTGTCTCAGTTTAACTTTTACTTAATAAATGCACTTTAATGGTCAAATCAGCTGCATGTCTCTGAGGCGGTGCAGTGAGAAGAAGCTGATTTGACGGTTGCTCCAGGCATGATTTTGGAGCTGGATGAAGGTGGCAGGCTCTGGCAAGCCGGTTGTGTCATTAATACCCACTTTTACCTATTACATGATACAATGGCATGCCATACTACTCGAGTGTCATCCAGCGGCTGAAAATGGTAGCGTTCAATATTTTCAGTCAGAATGAATGAAAACGGTCAGATCTCAGCCAAAAATTGGTTTATAAATGTGGAAAAAATCCATAAATACGTCACTTTGGGATATAAGTCACAGGGTATAAAAATTATGCAAAAAAAACCAAACTGCGACTTATAGGTTGAATAATACGGTAGGTTTTATCTCCTGTCTGAGTTCGTAGATCCATATCAACTACAGATCAGTGTGGGAATCTTTAAAGCATTTCACGATTTGATCACAATCCATAGGGCCGCGTTTCATTACCGTACTATTTAAATATGAAATATTTTACCTAATTAATGTTTTTATTTTTAAGGGTGTATAAAAACGTGTTAAACAATAATCCTGCCAATGATATTTTTTTTTTTATTTTTTTTTTAGTATTTTACCTTTTATTATATGGCATCTTGATTTGACTAACTTATTTGATTTTAATTGTTGTTGAATTGTTGTTGTTTATATGTTATATATCTAAAACAGGTCTCTCTTGTAAATGAGTTCTTGTGACTCAATGAGACTAACCTGTAGAAATAAAGGTTGAATGAAAAATATTCTTCTGTTGGTATGTATGTAAACAAACGACTCATAATTGTTGACAACCAAACACAATTCTGCTGATTTTATTTATGATGCAGTAATTTTGTGTTCCAACATCTATTACAACGTCAGCTAAACTCACGTCATGTTACAGAGGCATTGCACTGGGTTCATAACCACATTAATGAGCTTCTCCACCTCGTGTTTAAGATTTCTCCCTTTGATATTCACCATTTATTTCTGCAGAAGAAAAATAAAATCAAAGTTTTATGGTACTAACTTGTTCTGGAGCATCACAAAGAGCAGTAAACGGTTTGTGATCCTGTTTAAAGCATGAAACTGGACTCACTGTGATCAGTAAAACATCTAGGGGCTGGCACTGCACGTCAGATTTGTCGACTGTTTTCATGTCCAGAAACAGCCGAAATCCAGCTGAAATGTACCATACCATACCATTTTATTTATAGAGCACTTAAAACAGCTACAAGGCCAACCAAAGTGCTGTACAGACAGAACAACAGGCAACACACGAAGCAACTCAAAAATATAGACATAAAAACGATGCAGATAATAAATATGACGACAAACCAGTGTGGACCGTACAGGATCAAAACACAGATCCTCTGGTGTTGAAAGCTATTGAACAGTAATGAGTTTTTAACCGGGACTTGAAAACCGAGAGGGAGGGGGCCTGTCTGACAAGCAGAGGTAACTCGTTCCAAAGTCTTGGTCCTGCTACAGAGAAGGCCCTGTCCCCTCTGCGCTTAAGACGAGTTCCTGGAACTGTGAGGAGCAACTGGTCCGCTGACCTCAGGGAACGTGGTGGGACATACGGTTGTAGCAGATCAGAGAGATGGGGGGGGGGAGAAACTGTTCAGCGATTTATAGACATACATGAGTATTTTGAACTGGATTCGAAGGTGAACCGGTAACCAGTGCAGTGAGGCCAAAACTGGTGTAATGTGCTCTCTTTTGCCTGTACTGGTTAAAAATCGAGCTGCTGTGTTCTGGACCAGTTGTAGCCGTGCAGTGGAGGTCTGACTGATACCAAACAGGAGCGAATTGCAGTAATCAAGCCTAGATGTAATGAATGCATGTATTACTGTCTCCAGGTTATTTTTGGACAATATGGGCTTCAGTTTAGACAGCAGCCTCAGTTGGAAGAAGCATGATTTAACAATCATGTTAACATGATTGTTAAGTTTCAGGAAAGGGTCCATTATCACGCCCAGATTAGTGACTCGTTGTTTTTCTGACAGAATTAGAGCGGAGAGGTCGATGCAGTGGTTTGTGATCGTGTCATTGGGAGGGAACAACATGACTTCAGACTAATTTCATTGAAACTTAAGAAGTTTAAAGCCATCCAGTCCCTGATGTCAGCCAGGCAGTCGAGCAGAGGATGAATAGAGCATGTGCCATTGTGTCTTAGGGGGAAGTAAATTTGACAGTCATCGGCATAGAAGTGGAAGGGCATGTTGTGTTTCCGGAAAATAGCACCATGCGGCAGCAGGTATAAAGAGAATAGGAGGGGACCCAGGATGGACCCCTGCGGAACCCTGATTTAAGCTCTGTCGCTGCAGAACTAAAATCCTTGATGAAGACACAAAAGGATCTGTCAGTGAGGTAGGATCTGAACCCATTGAGGGCTGACCCTGTGATGCCCACCCACTTCTCCAACCTAGCAATGAGGATCTCATGGTCGATGGTGTCAAAGGTGGCTGTGAGGTCCAACAGGACAAGCAGCACAGAATCACCAGTATCAGTGGTTAAGAAAATGTCATTAAAGACCTTCAGCAGGGCCGTTTCAGTGCTGTGGAGAAGTTTAAAGCCAGATTGGAATATCTATAAGATGGTGTGATCCTCCAGGAAGCACTTCAACTGGGACTCAACTATTTTCTCCAGTATTTTAGAAACAAATGGGAGTTTGGAGACAGGCCGGAAGTTGGACACGACTGAGGGGTCAAGGTTTGTTTTTTTTCAGGAGAGGCTGGACAGCAGCATGTTTAAAGGTTTTTGGCACCACGCCAGTGGATAAACTACTGTTTACTGTATCAAGAATGCTTTATTTTATGTTGCTGTTTTTGTAAAGAAAAAAATGGGAGCTCTATTACACGACCGGTCAGAAGCTGAAGGAAGTGGTGGTGAGGAGCAGTCGCTGGAAGTTTGACCCCCCCCCCGGCCAGAGAATCAATCTGTGTCCTGCAGTCTGCTGACACCAGCCCGGCTCGAATGGAACCTCAGGTCTCTGGGGTCCAAATATTGAGCTACAAATGAGTGACCGCCCAGTGCCAACACTCAAAACCCAGGCAGAATCGGGTCGGGCCTTACGATGTATAAGGGCCGATCACACCTAAGTCTGGAGTAAAAAATAAAAAAAAATTTTTTTAAAAAGGGAACATAAACATAATTTCCTCTCGACAGTCTCACTGGTTTTAATTTGTCCCCAGAGAAATGTGAGGGAACCAAACCACTGGGCTGCGCCTCATCTTTGCTTTTAAGTAACGAGTGAGGCTTTAATCGAAGCGCAGCTCCGTGTTTTGACAGAGTAATGATACAGACGCTGAGATAATGGCTCTGGTAAAACTCCTGACTCCATGAAAGCACTTTGTTTTTCATTAAATCTCATTCAAGCTGCTCTCTACTTTCCTCCTTCGGCCTTGATTTCACTTGATTTTCTCCTTTTTAATTGATCCCTTCTTTTCAGAAACATCTTTTTACTTGCTCCGTTTCATTTGATGCCTTCTCCTCTACTTTAACTTTCCTACCCTCGTCGTATTCGTCCTCTGGTTTCCTCCCACAGCGAGTTGAATTAAAAGAATACAATCATCAATCGTAACGCTACGCAGTAATGTCATCAAGACCAGATTGAAGGCCTTTACTTGAGTCTGTAGTCGGAGCTCTGACTCCTCTCACCCTGCTTACTTTGATTTCTTATCTGATACGTTTGAACCGGTTCTTTAAAGGCGAAGCACACTTTCACCTCAGAGTGGTCACTGTTGGGCAGAGCGAGGCAATTCATTTATAATGATGTGTATTCATGACTCTGCGTGAACTGACTGCCTCATTTCAGCGCCGATCAATACCGAGTTAAGATATCACCTGCCTGTTCCACTGGCTGACAAGAAACTGTGCAGACCCGAGCTGATGAGGAAACATTTCACAGGACGAAGAGTGGGAAGAAATGGTACAAAAAAAAAACAACAACAAAACTCTGACGCTCTAATAAATGCTCTAATAAATTCTCTTAAAGTATTACTTATAGAAAATGTTTTACATTTAAATAAAAATAAATTGGTATTAATTTAACCAAAAACATTGATTGCTTTTATAAAGTGGGTCTGCAGTTGGTTCAGCTTTCAAGAGTTATTCAGGGAAAAGTTTCTTGGACGACAGTCGCATTTATCTGTTGATTTAATAAAGCTTAAAGTAATCATTACATGTACATCTTTAACTTATTTATCTGATAGATTCCAGTTTGTAAACGTAAATAATGAATGTTCTTCTTACACCAAAGTTAGTCATGGAGTTCCTCAGGGTTCAGTGCTTGGACCAATACTCTTTACTTTATATATGCTTCCATTAGGTAAAGTTATTAAACAGCATGGGATAAATTTTCATTGTTATGCTGATGATACACAGTTATATTTGTCCATTTGATTTTTGAACCCATCCAGAGGACCTGACTTAACTCTTTTTTAGATTTTTCAACCTGGATTATTGAGAATGCATCGGGACATCAGTGTCCCAAGTTCTCATGTTTGTAATCAATAACTCACCTCATTGGTTGAGAGAACAGAGTCTTCATCCAGACTGAGAACGGCGTCCGTGGCGATGATGTCGTGGGGGAGAAAACGACTGCTCATCGTCTGCACAGAAACAAAGATGGTGTGTACGTTAATATAGTTAATAAGCAGCAAGAATAACTGAAAAGAATGCTGAATTAATTAAACTCTACTGAGGCAGAGCGCTTCTAAAGGTCAGGAAAATGTAGGTTTACATCAGTTTTAAATAAATATAATTAGTGGAGAGGCATAAAAATCCAAAACTAAACCAACAAATGTGTTTGTTTCACCTCCAACTGTTCGTCTGTCGATCAATGAGCTCCCTTAATGGGTTTGTGTGACTCTTTATCAATTCAGCGCCCAACAGAAAATGTAGTGGAGCCTGATCCATTAGCCTAAAGATGGCTGCTGCTCAGCTTATTGACTCGTAATTAAAGTGTGAATTATTCAACTGTTTGTTTGCAGAACAAATGGAGGCTCAAAACATGGATGTTTGGGGGGGGGTCTGCTGAAGCTTTCTGAAAAACAACAGGTAAAAACTGACTCACCTACACCATTTACTGTTGAGATTATTATTATATTTTTACCATTAATATATTTTTTAAGTCTTTAATGCTGCAATAAAATCATCTACATGCAAGTTCTGAAAACTTAAAAAAACAACTTCCTATTTTGTAAAGTTTTAACTGCGTTAATGTAGAAATACACTTTTATTTAACAAACATCTGAGCACTAAGGCCCAGTTTACACACTGTTTAAAGTGAAACCAGAACTATTCTGTTGTGTTTTGGCTGTTTACACCACAACAACCATTGTCTGACATGAAAACCTTTAAATCTCAGACTGGAAGTTTTTCTAAAGTCCAGGTCTTGTTTCACCAGAAAGTGCAATTTACTTAAAAGTGGAAGTGTTAGCGCATGCGCTGTACGGTTGCTGTCAGTCAAGAGTTTACAAGTTCCTGATTTTTTTTAGATATCTAATTTAAAGTAACTTGTAGCAGAACCCAACCCTGTCTTGGGTCCAAACATCCGTGTATTTGTCCTTTTGGATGAAACTTTTCATGCTCGAGACTGAAGTGTCTGCTCGTCACAGCGACAGCAGGTTCAGCGTCTTTTTCAGTCGTGCTTAAACAACGTCTGTGATCACATCTTTAACGTATGAACGCGTTTTTTTACAATCATTGGAACATCTATAATGTTTGCAGGAAAATGCTGTGTAAACTGGGCCTAAAATACAATTATGTCTTTAACCATTCTGGTCCAAGAACTCCTTGAATTACATTTTGCTCGCTGCCTTTCATGCCAGGAAAAAAAAAAAAGAAGAGATTGTGGCGAGTTGGAATTTAAGAGTATATGTTGTGAATGACTCACAGCTATTGCCGCGTCAAACTTTAGCTCAGATTTAGGTATCTGTAAATTGAGTGAGGTATAATAGTTTTTGTGGTGGCAGCCATCTTGAATGAAGCAGTCTGCTGGCTCCTCGGATAAATAATATTATTAACTTTAAAAACTAAGCCTAATTCATGAATATAAAATCATCATGATGCATTCAAGAGGTAAAAAAAAACCGCCAAGACGGCCACGCTCAGCCAAGCTGCAGCTTCACAGGCTCCAGGTGAACTCGATCTTTTTGTGTTCCCGTTGATTTGTTTTAAGGGTTTTTTTGTGCCTACAATGTACATACACAGTACAGGTATGACCACGACACACGTGGAGTTTTCTGTGTCGCCGCCTTGCCATCCTGTCATCGTGGTTCAGGCCTTCCAGCCTCGGGCCTGTCATGGCGGCTGTTTCCATGATCCTCTATCTGCCTGCATGGACTGAACTCTACAGACCCGTTTGGTTCCGCAGGGAAACCTGGATGTTCTCCATCTGCTGGGTCCAGTTCTGGGCTGCGGTCATTGTTACCATCGGGCTCCAGATAGCAGGTCTAGTTAGCAGGCCCTAACGATGCTAACACCACCACGCTGCTAACTGAACCTCACTGCTAACAGTTTCATGCTGCTAACTGGACCATGTTGCTAAAATAACCTCACTGTCATCAATAGGACCATGCTGCTGTAGATTTAGTTTTTTTTCCACTTTTGGCGCCGTGTTTCTGTATTTTGGTGCATGTTTTGAATAAATCTCAGTTTGTTATTTTTGGGGTCGGCTCCGAGCTCGACTCCGCTCACATCAGTTTGTAAATTATAGCCGAACAGAATAAGAGAATCGTGCTGCGGCTGTTCGGTTTATTGTTTTACACTATTAGTGTTACCGTTGGGCGTTTGTTTAATATATATCTTAGTTTTTATCTTAGATTCTTGTTAACAGTTTCTTTTTACAATTTATATTTTTGCTATTGTTGGATGTAACTGGGACCCTGTGTACACAATTTCATTCCACCTCATGTCCCACATGCGATGTGAATGACGATAAACAATCTTGAATAAAACGGTTAAATGTTCCTCTAAAGTGCTGCCTGTTTCACATCGCACCAAAGTTTAAGGGTTCTTCCTTTGAACGTCTATGAAGGTTCATTAAAGAGTAAAAAAATGAAACGATGTGCCCATTAGCTTCTACTAGTGCTGGGCCACATCATATCGTTCACGATAATACCGGTAAAAAAAAAAAGCTTGCCCGGGAAAATAAATCATATCATGATAAGCTAATTTCATGTTTTCATACATAAGTGTTTCCCCTACCATTATACAAGCGGGCCGCCCCACCCAGTTAACAGAACCGAGCACGCCCCCTCCACCTGTCGGTACAGGCGTAACGCTAATTAGCTGCGCGCAATACTAGCTAGCTAAAAAGCTAAAAACAACGTGCGGCTCAGCTGTGTCTCCACCCAGCTTTAAGCTGCAGGTACAAACACTTCGGCTTTTTTCTCTCCCCCCACCTCACTGCTGCGGGTGCGGGCATCAATCCAAAGCTTCAAATGAAATGCTTTTTACTTTCTTATACACAGAGAAGAATTAAGAGGCTTATTTAACTAAAACCTCAAATATCTAGAAAGTTTAAAGAGTTTCCATCTCAGCTTCACGAGCCGATGTCAAATCAGCTAAAATCATGTGAGAGGAAGATTAGATTTGAGTTTTAATCACTGCTTACAGCAAAGTCCGGTGGTCTGAACCTTCTCTTTATCGCTCTCTTTTCATTAATTTCCTTTTTATTTTCACCAAAGGTTCTGCTGCTTTAAAGACGGCCCTTCGAGACTCGTGCTTTGCGTTCATACTGAAGTCATATGCAGATTAATGCAGAGATTAAATTCAAATATTGCACGTGTTTCTGCAGAGACGTCCTAATCTGTGAACTTTTACTTTTTTTTTATAAGCTGGATGTCACATTTTATCACCTGTCACAAAGAAAGGTGCGTCCGTTTCATCGTGAACCAGAGGATGGATAAAAAAATTAAAAAAAACTTTCATTTGTGAAGTCAGTCTGATTCAAGATGGCTGCCAGAGCTTTACCTTTAGTTAAAACAAAAAGTCCCTGCTTGTATAATGGAAGAGGAAACACAGACTTCTGCTGACATGGTTTTTTAAATTGCTCCTAAAGAAACAAACAAAAAATGTATATGTTTCAGGAAAGTTAATCTCAAGGTCACATGATCCACAAGGTCAATTTCAAGGTCAAAATGTCAGTGGATCCCAACAATGAAATTAAAAAAACTAAGGGCAGATTTGAATCCTTGTCAAATCTCCTTTCCAACACCACCAAGTCTGTGGAAATCAACCTGGAGATAACTGGAGATAACTGGGGTTGACGTTAGGCTACCACACATTTTTGAGATTGAAGATTTCAGATACCGTGCTGTGGGATTACAACGTGCCAAGTTTAATCCCAATCTGAGATGGTAGGGTTAAATCCACTGGGTGATCTGGCATACACAACTCACAGACAGAAGAACAAACATTTCTTAAGAACCTGTATTTTTTTCCTACAAGTGCCTGAGTTTAATGGTTTTACTTCCTTTTTTCCCAACATTTAAATACTTAAAAAAATACTGAAGTCTGTGCTTATGCTCCTTCTGCTAACAACTATATTTACTCGAGGAAATGTGAATAAACTTGAAATGTTGAATGAAACAGCTCACCACTGAAAGGAAATGAAGTTTTCATTGTCCCTCACTTTCAGACATCACTTCTTGCTCATTCCTGGTGTTTCTCATTTGACAATGTATAAAAACAATCAGACCTTATTTTCATGTCACATTGATGCTGCTGGTTGTAAAAGTCGGTACTTTGATTGCAAAATGCATCTAAATGATTACAACCCGGAGCCTTATTCTTCAGCAGACGTGACACTAAAACACGGTGGATTCACGCAGAGTCGGAGGCCGACGGCAGAGACGAAGTAAAGTCGTGTTGATGAAGTAAAAACACTCAGCGTTATAGAGTAGAAACACCCATAACCAACAACAAATTACTCTGCTGCTGCTCCCTAGTGAGACAAATGACACTGTGTGCATGTTTGTTGTTATTACAGTGGGAGCAAACAGCAATCGAAGCAAACGCACTCAGGAGCATCTGTCCTGGCAGCATGACAATATACAGCGTGACTAATTATAGGACCACACGCGCTGCAAGAGGCTTTTCACTGTCGCCAATGAAAACACCGTTCCTGTATTTCAAGAGGGAGACATTTACATGAAAACAAACAGAAGCAATTAGACGAGAAAGCACGAGGTTCAGACAGAGAGACGATTACAGACACAGCTAGAGGTTGTGTGGGAGGCTCGGTTAGTGAGTCTGTCGGAGTGTGTTTAAGAGGCTCAGTTGTTGAAACTAATGAGAAGATGAGTTCAGTTGGAAGCACAAGAATACCACATACCAGCTGTGAGCTTACAGAGCACACGTCTTCTTGAACAAAGAATATTCTTTAATAACACGGCGAACAACAGCACTCTGCAGAGTCACACTCCTGCTGTGACTTTATTAACTCACATTCTTTCTATTTTACCATAAGTGTTTATGAAAACTTGAAATAACTCTGTCTGAATTAAACGACACAGGACAAAAGTTGTCACCGACTGAATGTAGAGCATCGCTCCTTCTTCAGGTGAGCTTACATTGTTGTGTGTATCAAACTTAAATTAAGACCTCGTCCACACAGAAATGCAAAATTGTTTTTGTTTCTTAAAATGTCTATTGTGTCTTTGTCCACAGAGAAAACAACCCATAGCGCTACAGAAACCATACCAGGCCGCTGCAACAAAAACAGGAAACAAGGCGTGGAGCGTAAAGTTTACATGTTGGGAGCCAAACGAACAGAAAGACGAGGCTCTTGGGTCGTAGGTCGGATTAAAGGTGGTATGATGACATCATTTAGCTGACCATAAAAACACAATCGGTGTTTCAAGGTTTTTTTATATATATATTAACTCTGTACTAAAAATGAAAACAAAATCAAAACGTTTATTTTCTTAAAACTTGTTCCCGTGGACAGTTCCAAAATTTTAAACCCATTCATGAGCTCATGCTCCATTTTACAGTAAATTAATTTAAAACCAAACAAATAGTCTATTTGAAAATAGTTCTTGCAACGTAAGAGCATCAAAATCTAAGTACAAAACAAATTAAGCCACAAGGAATTAAAAAAAAATACTTTTATCTTTTTATAATAACTACATAAACTCAGATTGTACCAATCAGTTCAGATTTTCTTAAGTAAAGTGAGAAAAAACATTGTTCACACAGGCTTTATTGAACAAACAATAGAACCTGACATTAAAAACGAACTACTTTGAAATTATTAAATATATTTTGTTTATTAAAAAAAAAAAAAAAACGTCGTGAGGACAAGTAATCCCCTGAACCTCAGCTGTGCTCTCGCTTGTGTATACAGTACGTGTGTTGAAGGCTACAACTTGTATTGATGTTTAGTTTATTGTCGCATCTTTTTTAAAACGTATAGATAAATCTTAAATCTCACAGCTCCACTTCAAGACAACAAAAACAAAAAGCAGACGTTACCTTGGTCTGTCCTTGGATGACAGAGAGAGGCACGCTGGTGGAGGGCCACTTATGTCTAGGAGGTAACGGCGTCTCACAGGTCCATAAAACCACGATCTAGATGAGGAAAAACACCGGGAGGTGGACATGAGCTTCCATCAGCAACGTTGTGTTTTAGGCACAATTTATGTCAAACATCAGCCATGTTTAATAGTTGATGCTCAGCAGACTTGATAAATATCAAGAAAGTCAACGTTATATATATATATATATATATATATATTTATATATATATAAATAATGAGCGAATGACACCAACAGACATTTGGCCTTTTACTCTTGTCCCTATTTATATGCAACTTTTTCTTTATTTCCCCCTTAATCTACTCATTAAATGTTTAAAAGATATAAATGTACTCCTCTTATTATAAAAAAAAGTTTGTGTCAAACTGTAAATGTTCGTGTTTTTGGTCCTCTAACAAGAAGAAACTGAGCGACTCAAAGAGGGAGACGTGAAATAAACAGCGGCAGGAGAAATGTGAACCGTTCAGACATAAAAACATTTTTATCGTGTTTCTCCTGCTCCGTTTGATGGATTCTGGTTGAAGCAGCAACAATCAGTGAGGTTCTGACGGACTTCCCACCTGTGCACAGAACTTGGACTTGGCTACAGCTATGATGAGCTTCACCACAGGAGAGATCTGGGACTGCAGAGGAGAGACGGTGTGGATCACAGCTGTGAACTGCTGCGACGGGCTTTTACCTGCACACACACAGAAGGTGAGTAAAGCCTGTTAACGTTGTTTTAATACACACAGCTCTTTGTGAAGCTCCATCACAGTAAACTGCACCCATTGATCCGAGCTGCACCCATCGTCTAACAACAACCCCCCCCCTTCACTCAACACATTTCATTTAAGACTAAACATCTTTAAGTCACTTTGATCAATCTGTACATGAAGCTGAACAGAAGACGTTTCATTCTGTAAAATAATTAGCTGCATCTTTCTGTCCAGAGAACGTTCAGTTTTCAAACCCTGAGCAGAGGCTTTTCTTTCACTGAACGTCATTTTCAGTTGATCAGTTTTTGATTTACTAATCATTTCAAATAATGTTTTTAAGTCTACGAGGTCCGATTCATTCAAAATGTTTAGGGGAAACTAAAAACGCTCACATGAGACTCAGGATGGTGCCACTGACCATAAAAATAATAATAAAAAAAGTTTCTGTGATGGAAATTTATTTTCTAAATGTAATTCTGTTAAATAAAAAGTAATTAAGTTTTTTTTTTTTTTTTTTATAAAAAGCACAAACTGCAAATTTTAAAGTGCTCCATGTAAAGCTTAGTGACTTCGTTCCTGCAAGACAAGATGCTGATTCACATGAGGAAATAAAGAAAACTGAGCAGAGACATTTTGAAAGTTTCCTCAGAACGCTGCTTTTTATTTCTAACAGTTGCAGCCCAGTGAGATGAAGACTTCATGATCCGTGTAAATATATTAACATACGTGCGCTACATGAAATGACTGGGTGGTTACCAGCAGTTTGTAGGTGCTTGTATTTAAATGCAGTTGGGAACAGAGACACATAAAGCAGAACTTAGCTGCTTGAATAAATCCTTCGTTTGACCCTTCGACTTGCTTTTGGAGGCAGATCATGTTTTCATTCTTCAAAAACTAAAAATCAAAAGCAACTTTCTCTTCTACTTTATAAATCATCCCCTGCAGAAATGTATCACAGATAAATGGAGGAAACTATGTGAACACACGCAGACAGACTTTTAACATAAATAACCGAAAAGAGCCCGACTGCAGGCAGAGGGAGAGTCAACCGTTGGCTGGGTCTGGGAACAGGGGAGCACATCTCCTCATGGATAAGTGGAGTCAAAGTGCTCTTTAGTGTAGCTCTATCCATCTCTGTGACACCGGCCCCCACAATCAGCCCTCTCAGGTGGGCTAAGTGGTATTTATGGAAGCAGGAGCTCTGCTTCTGCACGGGTCACAGAAAAAAGGTTCAAGCTTTGTTTCTTGGAAAAACTGAACGGCTTGATTATTATTCTACATGGACTTCTAACGTGGTAATGTTTGCTTTAAACTAAGTGTTGAAATAAAGTCGTCGTACAAAATAATTAAATTAATTGCGTCGTGTTGTCGATAATATTTAAATTAGCAGAGGAACACAGGGAGGAAGAACTTTAAAATCTCCCAACGACTCAGAAACGGGAAGTTATTTTGAAGTTTCTGGTAAATTATAAAGAAATGCAGATTATTCAAATGATCAAATTAAACTATATAAATCCTGCTAATGAACTTTAGTTCATTAAATCTCTGATGAACCAGATTCTACAAAAATGTCTACATTTAAAATTTTATATGTTTTCTTCATCTTTTGATGTATTTGCACTCGTGTCTACTTTTATTATTCAGTTGAGATATGCGGTTTTGTTTCTTGAGTACAGATTTTTTTAATTTATTTTAACTTTGCTTTAAAGTTTAATTCTTGTTTTGTGATTTGTACATCTGTGGGTTAGAATAAAGTTGAACTAAAGGCTGTAACTCTTCTTTAAACATATTTGAGGGAACTATTCCTGAGAGATCCAATGGCCCACTATGAGAATGTGCTGCCTGTGGGACTGTTTGTTGTGGCTCCTTGGACTGATGAAGTCCTTTGGATGAAGGATGAAACATTTAATCAAAAAAATAAACTGTCCAGAGGACCTGACTGAACTTTGTTGGGTATTAAACATTTAGTCTGAAAGAGAACTAATCCCACGTTTTACAACTGTGTGCAAAGAAAGCAGAAGTGTAAATGTTTTTTTCCTCGTGACGAAACGTACCGTAATGATTGGCACATTTTTTAAATCATCAGTCCAAATCTTCTCTTGTAAACTTTTGTTTTAGAAACTTGGCTTTTGCCTTGCAACCATTAAAGGAGCTAGAACTATTGACTACAAGCTTTAAGGATCATTAAAAGAACAGCCTTTCCTAAAACTGACCACCTTTAAAGAGACTTTTGCTTCAAGTAATTTAAGTGAATAATAAACCAGTTTTCTTTTTAACTAACCACTCCTGAACTGAGCAATACATAAACGTGTTCAGGGTCCAAGCCTCATTACCCCTTTCATAAAAAAATAAAATAAAATAATGTATTACGTTTACAACTCTTAAAGCAACTAACGAATAGTTGCTCAGGAAAAAGAAATCGTAGGAAAAAATAAGAAAAAATTAAACTAAGAATCTGGAGACTTTAGGAGTAAAAAATTCAAAAGATGAACGATGCATTATAAATTACTATCATGTAATCACATTAAAAATATAATAAAGACTGATTTGTTTTGTTGCAGAGCAAAGAGGGGGTATTAGAAATACTCTCCTTGAGTTCATCCATGTGGAGAGTGTGATAACTTGAAAAATAAACGAGGTTACAACTTCCATTATGATGTGTGGCTGCATGTAGGTGTTCGGTTTCTGTCAAAACTTGGGTTGCAACATGGGTATATGTGTGTGTATATATATATATATATATATATATATATATATATATATATATATATACACACACACATGCATTAAGTAAACTAAGTAAACTGTCTACCCCTATCATTTGAGGAAACTATGGTTTTCAGTTTCTCCATTGCTTAAAAATATAGTTTCCTCAAATTATCGGGGTGTCCACTTTCTGGCCCCACCATTGTGCCTGGCCTCAGACAAGCAAAAGATTAAATGGTAAATGGACTGTATTATCTAACGCCTTTCTGTCTCATCAAGACACTCGATGCTCTTTACACTACAACCCGTGCCCTCATCTACCTCCACACACTCATTCATACAGCGCTCTACTACATCTCTACAAAGTTAATTGAACAAATCATTCTCAAGAGACTAATCAGTGTTTTATCACATTCATACACTGATGGGACATATCGGAGGCGATGAGGGGTTCAGTGTCTTGCCCAGGGACACTTCAGCACGTGACTGCTGGTGGATTCGAACCCCCAACTCTTGCATTGGAGGACGACTGCTCTAACCACTCAGCCACAGCCGCCCTAAATTAAAATAATAAAATAAAATCCTCTTCTACACAGTAACTCCTACCCACTTTATCTTGGACCAAAAACACTAAAGTTCAGCTTCAACTTTATCACATCAACGTCTTTTCAGCTCCTAAGGCTAAAATGTCTGAGCAGCAAATCAAACTTTCTCAAACTATCAGACACGAGTTGCAACTGCTTTGCCATCAAAAGTCGTGGGGGGGTAGCAGAGTGAAACCAGCGAGCACACGGCCCCTGCATCAAGTCAGCAGCTGCAGAAATGGTGATTTACTGCCGAGGCATAAACAAAACGTCTGTCGTTCCGTTTACCCTTCAGTCCGTCCTCTCTCTTCACCTCCTAACCTACGTGTCCACGATTCCTCAGAGGGAGGAACATCGATCTGAGTTACAGCCTCGCTCCACTGAGAGTCACTGCGGTCTGCATGCACACCCACGCACGCATTCATATCCAGCCTGCAGCTTCAGGTTTCTGAACTGCGCTCCGGTCCAACACTGGTGAGATTCAGTCAGACGGTTTACGACAGCATCAGCCGACAGTTCTGCCTCTGATACACACTTTACTTTTGCAAAACATTCTGTTGTGGCTCTCGGGCAGACGTAACGACCTACATGGAATAAAAAGATGAATTTACATCAAACTGCCAACATGTATTAACATATTTGGTCTTGTAAAATAAAGCCAAGTCTCGGACGAATGAGACCTGCTCCGACCTCTACTGCCCTGCGGCTCCGCACTCTGAGAAACCGTTCAAGCTGATTAGGTCTCCGGTTCAGACTTGCTCAGAGGAGCGTTGACTTTTTTTGTACGCCAAAGACCGTTCCCACTCATTTGTCTCGGGTGGTGGTGGTGGAGGTGGACGTTGGTGTGCCTCGTGGCTGCAGCTGCCCACGCTTCGTTACCCTCTCTGTGACTTCAGCGATGAATTTCCCGAGTCGAGCGATCGCCTGCCGCAGACTGGACTTCTCAAAGGTTTTCTGCCTCTGACCTGGTGGGCTTTGGAAGTCAAACTCCTCACTGTTTATGGGACAGTCCAACCTCTGCTGGTCTCAAAGGACTAGATGTCAGGATAGTTCAAGTCCAAGAATCTTTATTATCTCCAAGGGGCAATGTGTTCCACAGTCAGTTGGCAAACAAAACGTCCACACAAGACAAGACATTAAGACGTTAAAATAACCGTACATGAAATCATCATTGTTCCTTAAGAATCCTGATCTCTGCAGGGATGAATGAGTTTTTCAGTCTGTTCTACATCTGGGCAGCAGATACCTGCGTCCAGATGGAACCTGAACTCACCATGGAGGGGATGACCAGGATCTGTCAGAATGAGACCGGCCTTGTTCACTGACCTCACCTTGTGTAGGTCAGTGAGGTTCTGCAGGTCAGTGAGGTTCTGTAGGTCAGTGGGGTTCTGTAGGTCAGTGGGGTTCTGTAGGTCAGTGAGGTTCTGCAGGTCAGTGGGGTTCTGTAGGTCAGTGAGGTTCTGCAGGTCAGTGAGGTTCTGTAGGTCAGTGGGGTTCTGCAGGTCAGTGGGGTTCTGTAGGTCAGTGAGGTTCTGCAGGTCAGTGAGGTTCTGTAGGTCAGTGGGGTTCTGTAGGTCAGTGGGGTTCTGCAAGTCAGTGAGGTTCTGTAAGTCAGTGGGGTTCTGTAGGTCAGTGGGGTTCTGTAGGTCAGTGGGGTTCTGTAGGTCAGTGAGGTTCTGCAGGTCTGAGGTTCTGCAGGTCAGGGAGGTTCTGCAGGTCAGTGAGGTTCTGCAGTTCAGGTAGGTTCTGTAGGCCAGTGGGGTTCTGTAGGTCAGTGAGGTTCTGTAGGGCTTTGTCAGCAGTTACGCTGCACATCCTGATAATCCCTGAGAGTTTGTTCCTATTTTTGCACGTCAAAAGTCCAAACCAACAGATGAAGATAAAAGTTAAAGAGATTCAATAAAACCTTCTCATAAAAGTAGAATCAACATTAAAACCAGAGCTTCTGATAAAAATACATTCTCTAATGGGTCTTCTTACAAAGTGAGCTCACATGGGGGTCAAAGGTCAGTTTGTCATCAAGAACAGTTCCCAGATATTTATATTGTTGCAGCACCTCGACAGCTTCACCGTTAACGACTCCAGGAGCTGAAAAGGAAGACTCGCACCATTCAGTGAAGACCCCGACCACAGGTCCGGGGTCTGGGTCTTCACTGCTGAGAAGGGACAGGATGACGGAGTCATCAGTAAATACTACAGTCCAGTTGTCCTGCAACTCTTAACCAGTTCCTCTCCGTTATTCACCTCCTTCTGGAGGAACCAAAGCCCTTCAGGTCAGTCAAGTCAAAACGACCCGTTGATGCAGTGCTGTGTTTGTCTTGTGGTCTAGAGCAGAGGATCCCAAAGTTTGGGTCTGGACTCTACTGTGGGTCGCACAACACTTAGTTGGGGTTGACAACAACTAACTAATTGAAAGCAGCAAAACAATCTACAAAGTGAATGAAACGCACGTTTGTCAAAATGTGACCAACAACTTTTTCTAATTTGCAAGTTTGGCTGTTTTTCCTTTCCACCGCCTGATCGACCGGACGGTTCATTGTTGCAACACAACAATGTTCTGTTTCTCTGGCGTGTGCATGCATGTGAACGTGGTGCCATTTAGGAGTAAAGATTTACCGTATTTCATCAAACTGCAGCTTTGTCTGGTGAAATAATACGTAGCTGTTATTTAGGAGTTTGTTTGACGTTAAAATTTACATTTAAACGTCCTCATTCTTTCTTTCTTTACACGGACTGATTTAGTGTTTTTAAGGTTTAAGAAAACATCACTTTAGCACGTGACAGAAACTGTTTTACTCGTTCTGGCTCTGCGAGGGTTTCAAACACAGAACAGACCTGAAAACAAAGTCACGCATGTGCAAAAGTCGAGCGGTTCTTTTAAGTGAAATGCACATTTCGTTTCCACTTGCACAGATTTTTGTTTCGTGGTTGCACCAACACTTGCAGAGAGGATGCATTTCTCCATCACATGGTATTTTTCACACATTCACAATCATTGCAACATTTAGTATTTTTCACGACGGCCCCGGAACAAAGCTGTAGGTAAATCTACTTTGAAGCTTGAACTTTAAACAAAACGAGTACTTACCCAGTATGGCATAGTAAAACGGGAACTGAGCCGGGTCGGCGGAGTACTGTGGGAGGGCGTAGAGACCGCCAGGTAACGAGTTCCACAGCAGGTGGTTTCTGGACACATGGGACTCCACACGGTCCTGAATGATCTGAGACAGACGGTGAGAAAATTGAGAGTAAAATATTGATTTTTTTTAACAAATATATAATTCTGTGAACATTAAATTGTGCTTTATCTGTGAAATGAATAAAATATATTAGTGTTATATAACATGTGTATCAACAGCTGGAATATGAGAGGAAGAGCCTTTTATAACTCATTTAGGCAAACGTAACCCTCCTCTCAAGTTCCAGTTCTGACATTTGAAACTAAAGCGAGCCAGCTGTTCGGTAACATCTGGAGCTTTGGGACGTCTCTACAGCTGAAATGGCTTCACAGAGCTGAGATGGTTCTCCTTCACAACAGTGGCGCCTTGATCCCAACAGGAGCTGTCCATTTGTTACCCAGCTAATACCATCCATCTGGTTGGTTTAAAGGTCGGGACACTTGGTTAAATGTTGAGGCCTCAGAGGAAGACGAACGAGGAAAGCTCCTCTTCCTCCGAGCTCATCTGAAGGCCTGGCAGCGGTCTGGTGTTTACTGGTAAAATATTCTAATAAAGTCGCAAGTAGAAGAGTCCATCTTAACTTCAAACATCATCATCTTTAAAAAAAAAAATCAACAGTAATGTTTAAATGAACTTAAATAAATAGAATATTTAACACAGACTCAAAGCGCAGCGTACAGCAACATATTTATTCATATGTCCAGTGTTTCTCCACAGCAGCTCGTACCAACACACACACGGTGACTGCCGGCCTCGCTCTGTGGGACACACCAGTTAAAGAACGCTTCGTTACACCCAGTTAGCTCGGCGGCGTGCTGGCTGCGACTCCTCGGCACATCTGGCCAGCAGTACAGGACTGTCTGGACATCTGTCTCATTTCATACCCAGCTTGAACTGGGCATTTGGTGGAGTCACCCAGGTCTCCGTTGGCGCAGCTACTTCAGGTGATCAAAAGAGCCGTGTTAGGAGTCCCTACGTAATAAATCTGAAGATAACTTCTGGGTTTTGATGGGTGGACTGTTTGACCCCTGGTTTGAAGGAGAAGTCTTAAACCATCATTCAAGGAGAAGTTGTTGCTCCTAAACTCAGAAACGGTCTAGTTCTAAAACAGATTGAACATTTCTGCTGAAAATGAAAGGTGGTACCTCCTAAAGTCTTTTATTTAGTAAACATTTCCTTCAGGGGTTTAAAGACACCTGGACATCACATCTGTATTTTTATGTGATATTATTGTACGCCTTGTTATCAACGGTCATTGAAGGTTTCGAAACGCCCTTTTTTTCCTGCATGAATTAAAAGGTGTTCTCCCCGAGAGTTGCTGTAAAATTTGGTCACAAGTGTCCCTCACAATCCTCTCCATGTTCTGATGAACTCAAATCTGGTGACGACGGTAAACAAGCTTCTGACACATCACGATCAAAGAAAGACTCGTTGAGCTGTTGGGAGGCTCGTGGGTGATTCAAGATCATGGAAAAATTGTAAGAAGATCATGAATTATCTGTCGTGGTCTCAGTGCAGCATTCTGAGTGGCCCATTAAAAAAAAAAATCTGTTAATATTTGTGTGCACGGCTTGCAATCTTGGCCATGCACGTTGTTTTGCTGTCCACCAGTTTTTGGACATCCAGATAACAAACCATTGCAATATTCCAGTGCATGAACCAGTTTTTCTGGCACTTTTAATTTTTAGATGTTTCTAATGTTAGTGATATTACGCAGGTGGAAGAAGGCGGCTCTAGTAACGTTTTTAATGTGGGGGATAAAAGGCATGTCCTGATCAAAAACAACACCAAGATTTTTAACGTTAGAACTGGAGGTCAGATTAATGTCATCCAAGAAAAATTATTTCCTAAGATGCTCAGGTCCAAAAACTAAAACCTCAGTCTTGTTTGTGTTTAAAAGCAGAAAATTTAGGGTCATCCAGGTTTTTATGTCTATAAGACATGCTTGTAGTTTAAGTAGCTGATCAGATTTATTGGGTTTAATGGGCAAATATAACTGTGCATCATCAACATAACAATGAAAATGTATCTCATGGTGTTTAATAACGTTATCTAATGAAAGCATATAAGGTAAAGAGTATTGGTCCGAACACTGAATCCTGAGGAACTCCATGACTAACTTTGGTGTATGAAGATTTATTATTTGCATAATATAAGACAGATTAGCACATCTAATTGATCTAAATGTTTACTGATAAAGATGATTATCATCTTTTGTGTCCAGAGATGTTGCAAAAACAAACAAATGGTCCCAGAGATTTGGATGAAGGAAGAAACTCTTTCCAACAAGTTCATCTTATGTGCTTCAGCTGGTGAGGTCATTTAAAGAGGCGCATCTCCAGCCCTGAGAGAATCCTGCCTCCTACTGCAACACCAGGAGAGAAGAATGTACATATTTATTTTAATCAAAAACCAGTGACACCCTCAGCTGAACAGCATTGCAAACCAGAGTTCACTGAGAAAACATGAAGGCTTTTCCAGCTGGACTCTGCAGAAAACAAGATAAATATTCCTCAGTTACTTTTTTGGACCTAATCTGAGGTTACTGCTGATCTGAGCAGCTGCTGGGTGCTAAAGTATAAATACGAAATAGAAAACTGCAGGAAGAGTCACATTCAGCTGCCCTTCTGCAGAAGGGGGAACAAAACCCAACTGACAAGTAGAGAAAGACTGTGGAGTTCATCTCTGAAAGGTGACGCGTGGCCAGCAGCAACGTTCGTTACAGAACCAGACAGAGCCGTTTGATTAGATGAAGCCCCCCTGACAACCCGGATCCACAAACTTCAATCTGAGCCCGTTTTCTGCAGCCTTACCTCCAGAGTCGTTAGGACTATTTTGGCGACGGAGGAGAAGTAGGCGTCCCACAGGAACTGGGTCTGCTGGCGGAGAGCCAGCATCCTGTCACGGCCCACAGATCGAGTAATGGAAGGAACCTGGGAGAAAAGAAAATACACAAAACGTGTTAAAATGACAGTGGGATGAACTCAGACTGAGTGAAGGGGAAAAAAAAAAAATCAATGGCTCTCAAACTTTTCACTGTATTTTACATTTTGTATGTCATATGAATAAGATGTTTTTTGATTTTCCTCAAAAGAAAACATTCACAGCCTTTAATGTTGTATTTGTAGTACTGCTCATCTTTAACGACACTACAAAAGAAAGTCATTACTTTTAATTACTTGTATTTTTCACCCTACAAGTTGCATGCCCTGCGACTTATTTATGGATTTTTTTCTATATTTATAAACCAATTTTTGGCTGATATACGACCGTTTTCATTCATTCTGACTGAAAATATTGAACACTACCATTTTCAGCCGCTAGATGGCACTCGAGCAGTATGGCATGCCATTGTATCAAGTAATAGGTAAAAGTGGGTATTAATGACACAATCGGCTTGCCATACCCTGCCACCTTTGTTCTGCTCGCTGTTTGGAGCAACCGTCAATCAGCTTCATTTCGCAGCGCTGCCCCGATGAAAAGCAGCTGATTTGACCATTGAAGTGCATTTATTAAGTAAAAGTTCAACAGAGACACACCTTTGCTATAATGTCGAGCAAACAAATAATTGTTTTAGGTAGTTATCTTGTTAAATTTCAAAGAAATGAGCAGCGACTCGCCCCTCTGCGCATTCCTACTTCCACGTATTGGCTTTTGAAATGCAGCTGATTTGACAGCTGAAGTGCATTTATTAAGGACAAGTTAAACTGAGACGCACCTTTACTACAATTTTGAGCAAACAAACGATTGTTTTTAAGTGTTAATCTTGTTAACGTTTCATTAAAGTCCTCCCGTGCACGCTCCCATGGCTGCCATTTGGCAGCCGATTGATTTTTGGCACAACACCAGCCCAGATTTCCGGGTTGTTAGCGGTGGTGCGTAACAAACACGACGCGTCAGTGGTGACTTGGCCTGTCATGATAACAAGTTTTGCTGGGTGATGAACTGTCTCGGAAAATATTGCAATAAACGATAATATTGTTCCCCGTGACCCAAAATGGAAGAAGCGGGTAGAAAGATAATGGATGGATAATATTGTTTGAAATTTGACAATAATCAGTAATTACTATCAAATTTAAGAAGAAATGGTTAATTTTGTGTGTAGGACCTTTTTGACCACTGGATGGCAGTATAAGACAGTTTGAATTGAAGGATGGATAGTGAGGGAGCGAGCAGCGTGTCTCTTTAAGAAAATGGGAGCGAGGCCCCTTGATGTGACATGGGCCGTCTCTCTATCTTTTTTTTTCTGTTCTCAAAATGGCCTATGGTCGGTGTGGTTTGAGCTCTTTAGCATAGCATTTGTCAAACAACGCTTTTAATAATAATAATTAAAAAAAAAATCAGTAAACAAGTTCTCAGCTTCTCTTTGCAGAGAAAAACAACTTTTTACACGAAGGCAAGGGCTTCAACCGTGAATTTTTGGAGTTTTGACAAGACGGAGGTTCCCCCCCCCCACCGAGGTCGGCCTGTTAGCTTAGCTTCTCAGCTTAGCTGCTTTCAACGATCAAAAAACGTGATTTTGTTCGGTTAAAACTGATTTTAAAGAGAAAGGGAGGGGTCAGAGAAGTTGAGCCTTTTGTCATCCATCGTCTTCATTTCCATCTACTTCAAAGAGACACGAAGAAACGACAAAGCCGATAAATGAAAATGAGGTCGATAATTTTAATTTATTATGTGATTAATTGATTTATTGTTTATCGCGACAGGCCTAGTGGTGACACATAGTAGATGCGACGTAAACGGCGAAGCGATGCATTTATGGATTTTTTTCACTTCATTAGACATGTTTGGACTGATGCGACTTATAGGGAGGTGCGACGTTTACGGCAGAAAATACATTAGGTTTGTAAATGACGAGGGGGGGGTCAGTTTGTGACAGCTCTCAGAAGAGGAATACAACAGCAGCAATCAGATCAGCTTCATTCTCTTCCCTTTGATTAACTAATAGTCTGTATGACTCAGCAGGTGGGCTTTGTGTTTGCTGGAGTACCTGGGTGTCTGTTTTTCACATGTCTCCTCTCCATGGGGGGGGACAATGACACAGACACTGAATATTAAATAGCCAGTCAGTGAAGCTCTGCGACGTAATTCAAAGTAATGAGATTCAACTCTCTCGGCAGGAGTTTGGACCATGCGAGTTTTGTTCGACACCGAGCTCGTATAACTAAACAAATGATGCATTTAATTTTTATTCTTATTTTGATCAACTTCATGTAAATAATTCAACACAAACAGTGCTGCCAACAAACTTGTTGCATTTTCTGAAAATGTGCAGAGAACCGACTTATTTTTATACCAACAATGTTTCTTATTCGCAGTCGAGTCGCTGGAGATGGATTTTTAGTGCAAGGTGTGAACAGGGCCTTCGTGACTGCGCACGCCTTCAAAAGGTGGTGTTTGGGCGTAGCTACGGTGGTAAAGTCCCGGTTATTTTTTTTGTTGGGGATAAAAGCCTTTAGATGTTAACCAAACTGGGAGATGGAGATAAACTCCACCACAGTCGGAGCGTTCTGCTCTCAGCAGCATCTGATGACAACATGTGGCTTTTTCAGTTCAAAGAATGAAACGTGAATATTTCCTACAAAGCAAAAATTCAAAGTCTCCGCTCTACCAAGCGGATCGAGTTGAGGCTCCGCGTCCTGCATGGTGACTCTACGACATGTGGAGGGATTTACTGGACAAACCGATGTGCCACCTGAGCCACGGCAAACCAGTTAATCGATTCAAACACAAGATAATCCTCCTACGGTTCTATTACTATAAAATGTATGCTTTCTAACAGCAACGGTGCCTGGAGTCCTGAAACAAACAGCTTTAATGAGTCCGCCACAGAACAAAAATAAACCAGCAGCAAGTAATTTGTGATGTAAAATAACAAAAGTATTTGACTGACACCTGTTCAAAAGTTACAACAACTAACGTCTGATCCAATAAGAGACTTTGAATAAGATGAAGCCTCGTACCCCGAGGCCGACTGTCCGTGATGGTTTTATTTCAGAAAGCCTGAAGGCAGCTTCTCACCTACCAACATCCATTATTTATAAAAACATATTTTTATACTTTGTATTTATTCTGCAGAACCTCTATATCTGACTTTACTCTTTTTATTCCATTCTGAAAAGTAATAAATCGGGAGATGCATTTAGATATTTTAGGATTAATTGGACATTTAAGTAAAAAAGAACAAAAAGCTTTCAAACCCAATATTAAAAAAACAATTAGCTTTTTTTTCCTCTAAATTAAGAGTTCGGGGCGATGTAGTCGGCGTCTGTGACGGAGAAACAAGAGTGATGCCGTCTCACTTTCTTACACCGTTTTTTTTTTTTTGTACTTGTTAAAACAGGTCACTTTACTGGTTACAGGCCAGTTACCATACTTGTCGCGGTGCACGTCGCACCGCCCTATTAGTTGCATCTGTCCAAATATGTCTAATAAAACGAGAAAAAAACAAAATGCGTCGCTTCGCCACATAAGTCGCATCATCGCTGACCATGCGGGAGCGTGCACACGAGGACTTTAACAAGAAGTGAACAAGATTAACACTTAAAACAATTTGTTTGCTCGACTTTATAGTAAAAGTGTGTCTCAGTCTAACTGTTCCTTAATAAATGCACTTTAATGGTCAAATCAGCTGCTTTTCAGCCGGGCGGTGCGGAGAAATGAAGCTGATTTGACGTTTGCACCAGGAGTTCCGGAGCGAGACGAAGGTGGCTTTGTATGGCAAGCCAAGTGTCGCATTAATAGCCACTTTTATATATTAATGAGACACTTGACTTGCCATACTACTCAAGCGCCCTCTAGTGGCTGAAAACGGTAGTGTTCAATATTTTCCATGTCAGAATTAATTAAATCAAACTTCAGCCAAAAATCGGATTATAAATATCAAGACAAAAACATAAATAAGTCACTTCGCTGTATAAGTCGCAGGGCATGCTAATTTATGCAAAAAGGTGCGACTTATACAGTAAAAAGTACGGTAATTTATTCACACTTTAATGATCAGAACTCAATATTGATTTGAATTTTCACCCAGATGTGAGTTTTTATGAAAGCAGCGCTCAGGTTCAGAGTTCACGGTCAGGAGAGCGCGTCCTCTTCCTACGATGAATAAACATTGAAAACAATTTAAGCTTTAATGCCTGAGGCTAATATTGACCAAGTGTTTTATCTACATTAACAAACAACATCAGAAAAGCTAATGGGCAGAACCTTCACAATAACAGCTGTTAAAAAAAAGGTTTCCTCCTCCTTTTAAAAAAATTTAAAAACATGAGTCTGCAGGAACTACTGCTGGTACTGTACCTGTATTAACTTAAACTAAAATTAGTTTCAGCTTTTTATTTTTCTCCACTTTTCTTTTTCTTTTTGACGATTCTTTGCATTTCTCAAAAAAGGTGCAAGAGTGATAAGTTATTGCACGTGCTGTAAATTATTACCTTAGATTATAAATGAACCGTTTAGTTATTAGATAAAAAAAAAGCCAAATAATACAGTGCAGATGAATTTAAAGTGTTTCTGTACGAGAAGACAGGAGCACAGCAGCCATGCGTTTTATTGTAATTTATTGTGCACTAAGAAACGTCAGCGCTTTCTTTTTTCCTGAGAAGCTTTCACTTTCATCTCTGCGTCCATATTTGCATCTGTTCTCGACGTTTCTGCATCAACGTTGCATAAAAATAAGAGAATAGTGTTTGTTTTGCTCCACCTCAATTATAACCGTGTCTCGCTTCCTGTCAGAACACGTTTCTCACGTCACACTTATTATTTCAACCAGCAATTAGCGAGCTTTAAAAAAAAAAAAGACATTTTTGTTCTGCTGAAGGGAATAATAAACCCGTCTGAAAGCATCGATACATAATAGCTTTTATCAAGGTTAAAGAAAGTTACTTTGCCCCCGAAAATGATGTTTTATTTTAACAAATAATGTTTTTTTACGTCCAAATAAAACACATCTTGTTAGACGCTGGACACTAATTAAAGGCGGACACACACACAGTCTGATTCCCAACACACCGTGCGTCCGCTCTGCTGTCCAGATGGTGATAAAGGTCACGCAGGTCACTTCAGTAATTCTGAGTAATTAGAAAATCCAAATATCACACAACCTGCAGCTGTGATTAAAAAGAACAGAAGGTCTTCCGTTTGCGAAGAAATTCATCCCAGATAAAAATAACTCCGTCTAAGTGTAAATGACTGTGATTATCACATCTGTCATTTGAAAAAAAAAAAAAAAGAGAATTTACTAAAAGCCACATGACCAGAGTTTAATAACGCTTCCTCCTGCCAGGAAAAAATATCTGTTTTATACTTAAGTTTTCTAAAAGATAAAGATCAGAAAAAAGTAGGCAAATTTATGTTCGTTATTGTATAGCCCCGCCCCCCCCCTCTAAATGACGCCTTATTTTTTAAGAAAACGTATTTGCGGGTTTGGCAGCAGTTTGAGAGATATCCAGAAAACTTGTCAAATCTGGTGCCGTTCACTGGATTAGATTATTGAAGTCTGAAGAAACAAGGTGTTAACAAGCAGGTGCCTGAGTAGCATGTGGAAGAACCACACACAGCCACAACAGCCTGGACACTCCTCGTCATGCTGCTCAACAGCTTGGTCACGTACCGCGGTGGGATGACATCTTGTTCACCAATCAGAACTTGTCCTACAGCTACATTTCAAAACATTAGAATACTGTGCAAAAGAAGACTGTTGCTGGTCCAGTCCTCTTTTCAGATGAAAGTACATTTTCAGTCTGGTGGAAGAGTGGAGAGGTCCAGAATCCACGTTGCTTGAAGTCCAGAGTGAAGGTTCCACAGTCGTCGATGGTTTGAGGCCATGTCCTCTGCTGGTGTTGGTCCACTGGGATTTCTGAAGTCCTCAGCCCAGTAAGAAACTTCTGATGTCTGTCGCTCGGGCTCAGGAGAGGCTTGACTTAAGGAATGCAACAATTGTAGCTCACGTCTAGAATTCATCTGTGCACAGCGTGCACGAGTTTCCAATATGGAACTTTGTCACAAAATATAGTTTTTTTTTAATTATCTGTAACAAAATGACAAGAAACGAAGACTTGAAATATTTCATCCCGTGTGTAATGAGTCTATATAATGTACGAGTTTCACGATGTTGTAGTTTTTGAGATGTTTCTGTAAATGAGCCGGTCGGTCACTCTGGAACCAACAGCTGATCCTACCGGTGATTCTCAGTGGTATAAAGTTTGTTGCCAGAGCGCATCGTTCAAACAAACTAATGATAGACCAAAATAAACTTTTGTCTATTTATACAGGAAGTCTTATTGAGTCACGAGGACTCATTTTCAAGAGAGACCTGTTTGGGAGCAGATGGTGGGGGTTAAGTGCCTTGCTCAAGGGTCCAGGTGGAGGCAGGTGTGGGTGTTTCACCTTTTCCACCAACATTTTGATGTCGTCGGTCCGGTGAGCTTCTGATCACAGGCCCACCTTCTCTAACCTCTGCGCCACCACTCCCCATTTCTGTCATTAATTTCAGAAAGTTTTTATTTTTCTCTCATAGTAAAGGAGAAAGTGCGACACAGTTGGGTTTTCATGTCGGTTACTCTCGTTTTTATTTTATGCCACACACTGAATTAAAAATGAGTCTCATCCATCAGGGCTTGAACAGATTAGTGGATTCTAGGACATCTCGCAAGTTTTTAAATTTCACGTCGACCAGTCGCAGTCAGTGGTTGTGTCACGTGATCAGCGCCGGGCCGGTGGCTACGAAACGGATTCTTTCAGGCAGGTGGAAGTATTTCACTAAAGATGTTTTTAGTTTTATTTTATTTAATCTATGGTGGGATCCCACCACCGCCTGCCTCCTGTGTTTCCATCCACTAAACAACAACAACAACAAAAAAAAAAACGGGTGCGCTCCACCGGAGAATCCACCACTGCGGCGGTGGATAGATTTCATTTTTATTTTATTTAATCCACTAAATAAAATAAAACTAACTTTTGCAGCTTAATAATAGTTTAGGTTTTCCTCTTACTTATTTGCAGTATGATAAATGGTAGGAGCATATATTTATGCTCCCAATGTTTTTTTTTTTTGTAAATAATAAATTACATTTTTCGCAATAATTTTATTTTTTAGCGTCTTGAGTTCCTATGACGTCATCAACTATTGTCATGTTAATGTCGACTTTAAAAAACGTGTAATCGTTCAACCTCTATATCTAAACCATGGCACTTTGACAAATCCACGGTCAGGAAAGGGTTTGCTTGTTTTTGACGTTACGGTCGTTTCTGCAGGTGTTGGCCGCTCAAAATTGTTAGAAAATTGGCAAATTGGTTCGAAAGTGAGCGATCAGCGAACCGTGCGGTGGCTTTCGAGTGGCCGGTCTTTAAAAATCACAGTTTATTTTCCGTGCACATTACGTTGTTATCCACTTGCACATACATGGTGAGGAGCGCTCAATCAGAGCTCAGCGTTCAGAGGAGAACTGTGCAGGCGCCGGAACGCAGCTGTGGCGCTTTAGAGTCAGCTGAACCGAACCGAGAAGGGTTCGGCGAAGGTTTCAAGGCGTTTTGGAGACGCTCGCTCATCAACGCCGTTTGCCAACGAGTCGCCTCACGTGTTTCTAGGAGTTCCTTGATGTTTGGTTTATCACTCCCAGCTCGATGCCTCGAGGACGTGGACGTTGAAATCGTAGCAGGGAAGATGGTTGCATTTACCAAACCAAATTCAATTATTAAGCATTTATGCATATTCGAAGGTCACATTTTATGTGAGGAAGAGGAAGGCTGTTTTTGTTCACTTTGTGCAGCTTTTGTGCATTTTTAAATATTTTTTTTCTTTTTGTGCGATTAGACCAAGCCAGTTTTACAGCGTCTTTACAACTGTCCATCAGTACCCGTCATCGTTTCAGTACCTGTAACAGCAATCTCTCATCCCCAATGATGGCGGCTTTCCTCCAGTCGATCACTTCGGAGAAGGGCAGCTCCCAGCCGTTACTCAGAATCACTGGAATGCAGGCGGCCTGTGAGAGCACACAAACAGCAGCGAGACTGTAAATTAAAATCAGCGTTTTGAGCAGCACACCGACGTAAACGATGAGATGAAGATCACATTAATTATCACTTGCCACTGTGGGAAAGCGATGCTTTTGCCCGCGTCTGTCTGCATGTGTGCTTTTATTAAAATATCTCACGAACCAGTGAACCAATTTTAGTGAAACTCAAAAATCAATCATTAAACGTACATGTACAACTGGTTACATTTCACAGGCACTACGATTAAAGATGGCTGCCACAACTAACCAACATCAGCCAATACAAAACTGGGTAGAACACCGTTAATTGTACAGATACAAGCTAATGTTTGGTGCGGTGGAAGTAAACAGTCCCATCTTTAACACGTGGCTGCGGTGAATCGACGTGGCGGCCATATTTAATTGAAACATTGTAATGAAAGGCGACGAGAATACTAAGTTCTTGTTCTAAAATATTTTGGAGCGATTAACCAAACTGTTCAGAGTCGCATATTAAAAGAAAAACTTTGGATTGTGGGAAACGGATTACTACGTCACTGGTTTGAGCTGAGGAGAGAGAACACTTTTCTTTCAGAAGACCGTCTTACTGGAAAGAAGCAAAACAAATAAAATAAGGACGGGATAATTTTAGACCATTTACATGATTTCCCAGAGAGGAGATGGGTCTCAGCAACATGAAGGTGTGAGCAAACACTGGGAGGGATCGTCTTCAATCCTTGTTAAATGTTTTCCTTCACCGAGGTTTTTATCCTCTTTGCTTCTCTCTGACGAGACACTTTCACTGAGTTTTTTCCACAAACAAATGGGAGCTGACAAAAGGACAAAATGAAATGTATTTATTTTTCCAGTGTGGTTCAATATTTGGTGCCATTTTTATGGCTTCATTCATTAGGAGCGGGTTTTTATTCCTCCCAGAACTCGAAGCTGCCGGGCGTTAAATCCGTTTTATGAAGAGAATCCTAAAACGCTTCATCATCTGTGGTTAATGAAAAAGACTCGACTGTGCATCTTACAGCACTATTAAACTGTATTTAAGAACGTTTGCTTTCTTTTACACATTCGTTTTGACGATTTCCTGTTAACGTATTAAAAACTTCCGGTACAAACGGTTAATACATTTACAGCTGGCTTCTAATTTAAGATGGTAATGTTTTGTTTTTAATTAGGAATACTCTGTAAACACCGAAGTTCATGCTCAATAATCCAGGTAAAAATCCAACAACGCCCAGTCAGGTCATCTGGACAATTGTTTTTTTTTTTTGCCGAGACGTTTCGTCCTTCTTCAATCTGAGAAGCCACCAAACAAACTGAATTCCACAAAACATCATAGTCCACAGTGGAAAACCAGTTTGCTGGCGCCAACAGAGCTGACGGGGGAGAGGGCGGGCCCTGGAGGTCATCTCATCACCAGCAAACCGTTTGTTTCACTATGGAGTATGATGGTGGAAATCAGTTTGTTTGGTGGATCCTTAAATTGAAGAAGTCCTTTGGATGAAGGATGAAGCGTCTCAGCCAAAAAAGAAACCATCCAGACTGAACCTTGTTGGATCGCTCTGTAAAATTTCAACATCATCCTGGACCATCACAGCTGGAAACTTTCTTTGTGGAGATCCAGATGTGAAGTATAAGGTTTAAAAAGTGTCCTCCCTGCCAGACTACACTGATGAGCCACAACGTTAAAACCCTGGTGGTTTTATTTTGGACCTGAAGAGTAGGTTCTAGTCCGTTCTCTTCACAATGGCCTGGCTCTAAAAGTGTTAAAGTTTTGTGCTCAATCAGTTAAAATTATAATGACATTTTATTTATTTTACCATGGATGTCTTTTTCTTGGGCCACAGAGTGCTACAGTGTAAGAGGGATATATTTATAAAATAAATAAAATGTATCGCCCATCATCCATTCTTTCATCCATTCATTTCCTGACACGTATCCACAGTCAGGTCCTGGAGAACCTCCAGGATGCACCCAGGAGTCTTCCTGATCAGGTGCCTGAATCACCTCAGACGACTCAATAATTATTTGTAATTATTTAGATCTTAACATGTGGTGTTGTTGTTTTTGTCTTTCCTCCTAGTGAGGGACCTGCTCGCCTCCATTTTGGACCTGCCATTGTGTATCTGTTCCTCCTTCCTGTGCTCTCAAACCCAGCCGGTCGAAGCAGACGGCCGCTTGTCCCGAGTCTTTTGAGGCTGCTGAGCCTAAAGGTTTCTTCCCGTTACGAGGGAGTTTTTTCTTTCCACTGTTACCTTTGTTCTAGCTCAGGATGGGAGACTGCAACAAAGTGAAGGCTCAACACAATCAGCTGGCTACCCTACGTTAGATAAATTATGTTACGAATTGAATTTTTATATATGAACGTTTCTGTTCAGTGCCCTGAGATGACTTCTGCTGTGACTTTGCGCTATACAAATAAACTGAATTGAATAACTTCGACGCAGAGGATCAGCAGCTCCATTTCAAACTGCTGATCTTTTCTCTGAGCCCGGTCACACTGAAGTCCATTTCAGTCACGTGGTCATGATCCGCACCTTCTGAGCACAGGTGAAGGTTGGAATTCAAGGTTCTACAGTCATTCACACCACATGTGGTACATGAGGTGGAAGGAAAGTATGTACACGGGGTCTCGGTTACTCCCCAAAATAGTAAAAATATAAAGTATAAAAAGAAACGGTATACAAGGATCTAAGATATACACTAAACTCTAATAATGTAAATTAATATGGTATATTAAACAGCAGCCCGTATATTAAATACACTGTATGTAGATGGATCAGTACATTAAACTGAATCTTATCTTATCTTAATCTGAATAAGCCAAATCCACAAAACACGTAGACTGGAGAGTCAAACTTCCATCAAGTCTGCATGGACAAAGATCAGGTCCACAATCGAGGTATTTGACAGGAATCAGTTTTGAGATGCTTCTTTAAATACAGTTTGTCATTAGATTATTTTTTTTAGGAAGAGTGATAATTTAATTGAGCCAAAGTTTCTGAGCCAGGTTTGAATCCAGGACTGTACAAGTCTCATGTTTGCATTTTAATAATCTCCTGAGTACACGGGGGGGGGGGGTTCACTGTGTCTGAAGACCAGCTGACAGAAATTACCCCAAAAAATCTGATATTTTCATTTAAAGTTCAAGCTCCACTGGATTCTTAACCAGACGAGACGGAGATTAAAGAAGATTCTTTAAAATGTCGAGTTCAAGATCAGTGACCTGCTGATGAATAACCAGACTTCTGTGCTACATTTCATTTGTCTCCCCCCCCACACACCCTTATTCTCAGACATCACTTGGTTTATCTGCCTCGTTTAAAACTGCCTTCATTTTTCTTTTCAATCGTCTAAAATTTTACACACATCACAATTAAAATGTATTTAAAAATCCTAATTAATCCGTTTTCAGAAAATGTATTTTATTTAAATTAAAGATTTTGCTGTAAATGTTCAAAACTACAGAGAAGTTTGTGAGGTTTACTTCTGGATAAACCCGTGAACGATTTGATGATCAGGGGACAAACACGGATTATAATCTGCTGAACATTTTAAAGTTTTCTCAAAACTTTTATTTTTTCTGTTACAAGTTTGTGTGGTAGCAAGAGTACCACATGACATACACTCATCGACAAACCATTATCTACAGCATAAGAGTCTATGAATGTTGACCTTGATTTGTGACCTTGACCTTAGAGCTGGGGTGGTGAAAAGTATTCAACATATCAGAAGTTATGGGCAGGACAAGAGAAAGTTTACAGACAGTTTGTACCGTAATACGTCCGCCTTCGACGGGAGTATAATAAAAACTCTGAAGCATTCAACGAAGCAAATTCATCAGACAGACAGATTTTAAACTGCAGGAAGGCACACTGTATGATAACGGCAACAAAAAGGCATTTTCGTAACGCGATTCTTCAAAAAAAACTTTAAATTTTAATGTCGTTAAGAGCTCAAATGTGCATTCTGTTTAAAGCAGATTTAAAACGGGTCAAAAACAGAAAAAAAAGTCCAATAAAAACCCGAAGGCTCGGGGCAGAGCCCGATAACCGATGTCAAGACGGTGAGGAGGACAGAGTGGACGTGTCGATGCAAGATGAACACATCTGTGGTCAGAGGAAGTGTCTCCTCCGTGGTGTATCTACAGAACCAGGCCTTGCTATTTTAGGCAGATGACAGCTTGTCGATACGAATATAATCTTGTGCTGTCAGGAAGACGACGAGCTGTTTGACTGGTGATGTCATCAGCTGGAGCTCCACAGGCTGACCCATGAGCTTTTAACAGTAATTAGAAAGCACGGCAGCAAGGAACGTATTAAATTACTTTAAGTTTCCTCAACAACAAGGTGATGACGGTTTACTGGATGGTTTTCTCAGGCTGCGGACGATGCGTTTACGTTTTGAAATCACGACTAGTGTTTCTAAAACCCGGGCAGCAGCTCGTCGTTTCTTACCAGACGAGCTTTTAAGGTGTTCCCTCAAAAAAATGAGCTACAGATGTCCACGGACTCACCTGTAAAGCTTCCAGGAAGCGGAACGATCCCAGACGCCGGCCCCGCGGCACCAGGCAGAAACTGGAGTTGTGGAGCAGCTGCTGATAATCGAACCTACACAAAAACACGTGGAGGAGTTTGTGAGCGAACATGTAACGAACAAAACCAAGAAACAAGGAAACGGGTCACTTAAACTCTTAAAAATCGTAATTCTGATGAAGATGAACCCAAAGATTGAATTCTTGTTGTTTTTGTTTGTTTAAAGATGACATGAATAGACTATAAAATAATCTGTTAAATTTTAAACTGAGGAACATTGCTTTTTTTTTTTTTTTTATGCACATCACTGTTGGGAAAAAGCATTTAATTTATGATCTTAAAAAATGTTCTTCAATCCCAAATCTTCAGCCAAAATCCCTCCATGCCTGATCAAATTCACAGCATCAGCCCCAGTAATGCAGCAAGTAATCTCAGATTATTCACAGATAATAACGTCCTTCTTTCACACTTGGACCTGAGACTTGAGAAACTTTTAACCAACAGTTTCCTCCTGCCTGTCAGAAGTCTGGGCTGGAGGCTGGCCTGAGGAGGTTTCTGATGCAGCCTAATCTGTCTGGGGATCAACTGTCCCCACAACCAGACCCGCAGACGTGTGTGTGTGTGCGTCTTCCTGTCTGGAAATCCTGCTTCTCAAATGTTGGTGTATAATAAATCCCCCCGATCAGAGAGCATCTGGCATGTCACCGACGGCCACGGCACCTTTTGTGTGTTTCTGTGCAAAATGAGGTTTGTTTTCCAAAAAGCCAAACGGAGCTCCGCTTCCGATGATTATCTTTGGATGACAATTCAAACACAAGTGACTGAGGCTGTACGCGATGAGATTATTACTGCGATAAAGTCGTGTTTTTGTGACCTTGCTTTGACTTCCTGTAGCGTTAGCGATGACAAAAAATAAAACCAAGGAACCTTTTTCTTTTCTGAGGTTTGGACCAAATGCAAATGAAGATGTTTTGGTTTACAGCAGTGTAACTTCATCTAACTGACACGATCAGAATTTTAATTAAAGCACAACAAATTGTACGCAGTCCCATTAAGAGATCAATTTATCCATCTTAGTAGATATTTTTCCTGCCTACAAGGATAAAAAAAACAGAAATTACTAACCAGCAGACCAGTATAAATACAATGTGTATAAAAATGTGTGCATGCTACATTTTGATTGCTCGATTGTTCACAGCTAAATAAAATTTTGTCTTTTAAGCCAGAGTTATTCAACTGGCGGCACGAGGGCCAAATCAGGCCCACGGGTGAACTCAGTTCGGACCTTCATTGGGGTCGTTTGAAATAAAACTCGATTTTAAACCATAAAACAAAGTTAATGACAATAACTGCTGGATGTCTGGCTCCTGAGCTCTTGGCCTTCAGTAACTGTGGCCCCTGAGCAGTTTAGTTGAACAGTCCTGTTTTAGACTATGTTCACACTGCAGGAAAAAGCACAGTAACTTTGGTTTAGCAGATTGGATTTTTTCACGGCAGTCTGAACGTGATAAATACAAAGTTTTTTTTTAGTTCAGCTCAGGTGTTTTTCATGTGTGGTACTAAATCAGATACATTTCTGATGTTTGTTAACGGAACCTCAGCCTGAACAGTGTTGCATGTGGACTGATCCAAATGTTTATAATATAGATACCAACACTGTCAAGTTTAAACGTTGGTCACCGTCATCCAGTGGCTTCTTCAGTTTCATTTTTTATTCATCATGTCCTGGATGACTGAATCTACGCCAATGGACGATATCAACATTTATGTTGGACCACATCGATACGAACGTGATGGAATCGATACTTGAGTCCGTTTCTACTTTCAGTAGGCAGGAAGTGGTAAGATCAAATGTAAACACCGGATGAAACAATCATGTCCGATAATAATGTAATTAGTTCTGATTGTGGCAGCACGGTGGCGCAGTTCAGGGAGAAGTTTTCCGGATCGAATCCTGGTCCAGGACCTTTCTGGGTGGGGTTTGCATGTTCTCTCCATGCATGCGTGGGTTTTCTCCGGGTTCTCCGGTTTCTTCCCACAGACCAAAAACATACATGTTAGGCTGATTGGTGACTACACTGTCCCTAGATGTGAGTGAGAGTGAATGGTTGTTTGTTGTGTCCCTGTGATGGACTGGAGACCAGTCCAGGGCGTACCCTGCCCCTCGCACATTGATTGCTGGACATGGGCACCAGTGATCCTCGTGACCCGAAAAGGAGGAAGCGGGTAAAGATAAAGGATGGATGGTTCTGATTACAGTATACTGCGTGTGACGTCACATCTTCTGCATGCGGGCCGCTTCATGTCAGAGAATTCACACTGGAGTTTGATGACAATCTCATTAAAATGATTAAGTGAACAACAATGAAAAAAAATCTGATCTGAGCAAAATAAGCTTTAAGACCTTCAGTGAACGTGGCCTTAGTGAAAGACACTTGAAATAGTTTTTTCCTTCCATTAAACCCATATTAGAGTCGTGCAGTGGCTAAAAAGGTGTTGAAGAGCTTGATGGACTCGTTGAGTTTGATGACCCAGTTGCACTTAAAGACTCAAAAAGTGCAGCAGCCTGAACGTTGATATTTTTCTGTCACCAGGTTGGACGGTGCTTTTAGAACATCCCCTCAAGAAGTGATTAGTTTAACGACTGAATGTCTCCGTTACTAAAACACCCCAAAGAGCAACTGGACCATTAAAATGTCTCAGTCCAACCTATGGGAGCAGATTTAGTTAGATCCATAAAAATCTACTTGAGAAGTTGGGTGTTGTGGCGCTTTTTCAGATATAAGTCTTCACCTCTTTCCATGACCAGCTGATCCTCTGAACCCGTCTTGAAAGTTTGAAAATGGTGTCCAGTCAAACAAGAAAATAGACACTGGGTTGACTGGAAAAATGGAAAACACTGAGCCTAATCAGAAATTTGACCTTCATCCCTCTCACCGACTGGTTGATCTCCTCAAAGCACAATTTTCTGAGCGATTAAACCGATATCACGCCGTCTCGGCCCCCCGACTCAGTGCTGGCTCTGAATGAGCTGCAGGGTGTTTCACCTCACTGCTCCAACATCTGAGCTTACAAGCTCATAAAGCTTTGCCCTGCATCCGCCGCAGGTTTAACGGCTTGTGTGTCTTCAACAGCCACATGTTTAAATGTTTAGGCAGTTGCAACAATATTGAGTGTGTCGTCTTTAGGGTGGGCAATAATCACCCTCAAAATATTACTTTTCTTTACACCCCGGTAGCAGAGAAGAGGGGGAACTGGAAACACTGTTCGTCCATCTGTCCATGCTGTGAGCATGAAAATATGAAAATAAGTGCGGTACCCACTTCATTTTCAGTGTGTGGCTACATCTACGTGAAAGAAAAGATTCCTTTAGAAAATTGGGTTCCCACATCAAAATCCAAGATGGTTACAGACACACACACGGACACACACACACACACACACACATATAAACTGTACACGTAAACTTTGGGGGCTGGACAACTTGAAAAATAAGCAACGTGCTGGCTTCCATTTTTGTGTGTGGCTGCATGTAGGCGTAAAAAAGGTCAGTTTCAAAAACTGGGCTACAAAGTCACAATCCAAGATGGCCACCACCATATATATATATATATATATATATATATATATACAGAGAGAGAGAGAGAGAGAGACAGATTTACTTTCACCAGCAGAGCATTATGGCTGCCCTTAATGCTCCACTTGATATATAAATACAACTTTATTAGAATTTGCTTTGGGTTTGTTTCAGATGTAACGGACACGGGGATGAAAAAACAAAAGAAAAAGCAGAAAAGTGGGAGAAGGGTTCTCTTTTCTCTTTAAAATCTGTTTTAACAATCCCAAATTGTGTTTTTGTATCGTTAAAAGCAGCTAAGCTGAGATGCAAAGCTACGAGCTAAGCTAACAGGCAGACCTCGGGCAAAAACCTCCGTCTTGTCCAAGCTCCAGAATTCACAGTTGAAACCCGTGCCTTTGTGTAAGAAGTTTCTCTCTGCAAAAATAAACTGAGAACTTGTTTACTGATTTTTTTTAAATTAAAAGCTTTGTGTGAAAAATGTTATGCTAAAGAGCTCAAACCACACCGACCATAGGCCACTTTGAGAACCGGACACAGCCCATGTCGGGTCAAGGGGCCTCCCTCCCATTTTTCTTAAAGAGACACGCTGCTCGCTCCCCCACTGTCCATCCTTCGGTTCAAACAGTCTTATACTGTCATCTGGTGGACAAAAAATGGGTACTACACGCAAAACAAATTAAACATTTCTTCTTAAATTTGACAATTACGGAGTATTTTTAAATTTCAATCAATATTATCGTTTATCGCAATAATTTCTGAGACAATCGCCCAGAAAAATTTGTTATAGTGACAGCCAGGCCTATACATATATGTGTGTGTGTGTGTGTGTGTGTGTAAACAGACCACTCAAATCATTTGAGGAAACTACACGTTTTAGTTTTTCTCAAATGAATGGGGTGGTCCAAGATTAATCTATGGTGGGCCACCCCCTGGCTCCACCATTGTGACTTGTGGAAAATAATTGCTCTCTTCACTTGTCATGCACTGTCACTCTGCAGTGCCTTGGACAAACTACATAAATAAACTACCTCCTTCTTTTTGCACAGTGTAACTCCCACCTTCTTGAACATCTTGCACCCAAAACATTAAGGTTTATTTACATTCCATGTTTAAGTTCAGTCCCGAAAAACATTCACCTCAAGAAAACATTTACTATACAAATCCCTCAGCGACGGGGTACATTGTATCGCTTGTTTTTCTTTAGGTTTTTTTATTTTATTTTTTTGCAACAATTAACAAAAATTAAAGTAGTGAGTGGCTGATTACAACTTTTGCTGCATAAATGTTCAATTTACTTTAAACTCATCAAATCGTTTTAGTTAGGTTTTTTCACTAAACGTGTAAAAACCTGTGAATCTGTGTTTTATGTTTCTGTTATTATTCTAGAAAGTAACAGAATGAGTCAGGAGACGGGCAGACTTGGAGGATGTGCTTTAAGCCCAAATTAAAAATCTATACGCCCCGCAGAGAATCACTCAGAACATTTTAGCAGAAA